TCACAGAATGTAGGACAGTAACAAAGCACATTTACTTGAGTACTGTACTTAAGTACACTTCTGAGTATCTGTACTTTACTTGAATAGCCTATTATTTTTTTTCTGGAAACTTTTTACTTTATAGCCTACTTCACTACATTTGAAAGACAAATGTCATACTTTTTACTCCACTACATTTCTGTTAAGTTCCTTGAGTAGAAAGTAATATGTCGGTTTCTGACATCAACCAGATTTTCATTTTAAACCACAATACAACATCTGTCCAATGTTGGAGATTAATGTCAATCTGACGTTGGATTCTGACATCAACTTGATTTTCATTTTCAATGCTTTGTTTGGTCTTCTAAATGCGAAATTTTTCATTGTTTTGGAGCAGACTAGCTTTTAGATACCTGTAACAGTAAGGCTAACATTCATATTTAAAGCCAACAAACTTTGAATAGGGCACTATTTGAGGGAACAGCCATTTGAGTGTCCGTAACGTCTCGGTTACTGATGTCCACAGATCTGAAGCCGGATGCCCCTAGTACGTGGCCCCCTCAGCCGGTGGCAGAGGCATCCGTGGTGACCACAGAGTGCCTGGAATTTGTTCTGGGGGAACACCTGTCCGCAGGAACAAAGGGTCCAACCACAAGCTGAGAGTTGAGCCGCTCTGCCACGCCCTTCTGGGGACTCGATCGTGGAGCCAGTGTTGGAGCAGCCTCATATGAAGCAATCTGAGCGGCGTTACCGTGGCTGCAGATGCCATATGCCCTCGGAGCCTCTGAAATAGTTTCATTGGTGCCGCTGTTCTGTGTCTGAGTATGCTCACGCAGTTCAACGCTGACTGGATGCGGGCCTCAGAGAGGTGCACTGTCATGTTCATCGAGTCCAACTCCATACAAAGAAAAGAGATCCTCTGCCCGGGGGTGAGTTTGCTCTTTTCTCAGTTGACCCGAAGCCCTAGGTGGCTGAGGTGACTGAGCACTATGTCCCTGTGTTCGCATCACTGATCTCTCGACTGGGCGAGAATAAGCCAGTCGTCAAGGTAGTTGAGAATGGGAACACCATGCTCACACATGGGAGCAATGGCGCGACTTTTGTGAAGACACGGGGTGACAGGGCCAGCCCAAAGGGTAAGACTTTGTACTGATATGTCCGTCCCTCGAACGCAAAGCAAAGAAAAGGTCTGTGTCAAGGGAGAATCGAGACAAGAAAGTACGCGTCCTTCAGGTCGATCGCTGCAAACCAATCTTGGGGACGAATGCATTTGAAAATGAGTTTCTGCGTAAGCATTTTGATCGGCAGCCTGTGAAGGGACCTGTTCGGGAAACCCACCGTCTTTCTTGGGTACAATGAAGTACGGGCTGTAAAAGCCTGTCTTTATATTGGCTGGAGGGACCGGCTCGATCGTGTCCTTCACCAGAAGGACTGCGATCTCTGCCCTGAGCACAGGGGCACTGTCCGCCAGAACATGGGTGAGCAGAATGCCCTTGAACACAGGGGGACGCCGGGCGAACTAAATCGCATAGCCGAGTCTGACAGTACGGATGAGCCAGTGAGGCGAGGTGGGAAGCGCTAGCCAGGCTCCCAGACACCGTGTGAGCGGGGACCAACAGCACCACAGACTCACCACGGGGGTCTGCAGCTGGTGGACGGGTGGGAGCAGCAGCGGTCCGCCGGGGCAGGATGTGTTGGGTGGCCTACGTCTACTTCTGGGCGGCTGAGAACTGTTTGGCGAAGCTCTCGACCACGTCGATGAATAACCTAACCTGGGAGAGAGGGGCATCTAGGAACCGATATTTATCGGTGTCCCTCATGTCCACCACGTTGAGCTAAAGGTGGCGCACCTGGACCACCAAGGTGGACATTGCCTGACCGACTGAACCTGTGATTTCTTTCGGAATGCAGGGACCCGACTCGGACGGCATAGCGGCCCGGAGTGGGGTCTGAGTGTGTGGTGCAACACGTACCTGCTTCCATCGAAGCGGACGCCAGACACAGTTGCATGGCGACGGCATGCTCCCCCGGCGGGACATCCACATACCCCTTAGCTACTCCGCAATCGAGGAGGGAGGAGCCACTAGGACAGCTTCTGGCACTACACGGCACCGTCCATGTTCAAGCAAGCTCCTCATGCACTTCCGGAAAGAATGGTGTCGGGGAGGCGTGCTGAGAACCAGCACAGCCTGCCCAAAGAAACAAATCGTCGAACCGAGAAGGTTCGGGACATGGTGAAGGGTTCCACTCAAGCCCGACCTTCTCACGGTCCGGGAAAGCATAGCTGCCCATTCAAGATCAGAATCAGGCAATGCTACACTCCCCGAATGGGGTAACGCAGCCCAAATCGTCATCTCCAGAGGACTGAAGCTCCATCTGGTCGTCAGGTGGAGCTCCAAAGTTCACGGATGCTCGTCCATGAGAAGGACCAGCGTGTTCCTTTGGAGACTCCAAAGGCGGCAGCACTTGTGAGGCATGAGGGAAAGCGGGAAAGCCCTCACGGTAATCCTCAGATCACCTTGACCCTACAAAGAAGTAGGTCTATTCTGAAGTAGTCTCCAACAATGCATCAGTCTGCAGAAACTCAAAACGAGTCAAAACGAAAGCTTGGCTCCAAAGTGAAAGACAATGTGTGCGTGAGCCCGCTCCCTGTTTATACCCGCGCTGCGGGGCGGGACACGTGTCGCATCTCACGCACGCCAACGTTCATTGCCTCGTTCTGTAGACACTCAAAGTTGATAGGGATCCCTGAAGTGATCCCAATTACGTCGTCATGTCGACGCCACGTCGAAAGTGAGCGAAAGAAAGGGAACCGTTGTAGGAACTGTTGTGGACGAGTGGATTTATTCAATGTCACATTCAATCACACCACTGGAACTGTGTTCTAGAAATAAATTTGATTGATATGAGTAGGCAGGAATAGATTCAGAGGCATAAGGTACATACAACCTTGCAACAATAATGAAACAATGCATTGAACAATTATTTTTTACTTCTGATACAGTACTTTTAAAGTCCTTCTAGAGTCCTTGTGTACTTTTACTTAAAGGTGCCATCTGAAATAATAAATCAAATCCTACTCCATATTCCATAACAGATGGGGGCAGTATACCTCCAGAAAATGAGTTGTACTCCTACCATCGCGCATGTTATTCAAATCATTTGACACGATAGTAAAAGGTTGGAAGACCGCAGTTTCACGTGGAGCATTTGGAGATTTTTAGAGATCAGAGACTCAATGAACAACATCTCAACACTAAATGATGAAGACCGCCTCATAGACGCCTGTCTCAAAAACAAGCTGGTACATTTCGACGATATGGGAAAATAAAAGCCTGGGCAATTATTTGAAGTTTGTGGTATTCGTTTTGTTCATATTACACTTTTATTGTTAGTTTGAATTAATTTGACAGGCAGCATTCGCTGATGTTGATCAAGCTAGCGCCATTCAGAGCTGCCAACTCTTAACGAATTCACAGTGAGACGCACGCAATTGACACTTAGCAAGCAGGTTAGTTAAGCTCTCAGATTCTGTCAATTTTATTACGCAATTCAAAGAATAAATACCGTTTTGGCGCTTGTACATGTTACACCACAGATCCCTAGCGCACGTGAACCGATCGTCTCTACTAGCTAATGGAAAAAGAACATGAACTCTGTTGAAAGATACAGTATGCTACAACTTATCAAAATGTATTCCTCATGCATAATGTCGACCAATCATTTTTTGAACTCTTCCCTGAACTGAAATGTAGTAGTGGGCTGTATTTCCACACGACTGACATCAGGTTCAAGTACACACACAAGCCGGCACGAGCGCGACTCACTTGTGTACTGCAGTTTGGCTGGTGGTAAAGTTGCCCGCCTGCATACCGCCTCCCATGGCCGGAACTGGTATTACGACACCTGCCGGGCCGGAGCTAGTAATTTAGCATGCTAATTTAGGTTTATATCTCGGCAGCACTATAACTTGTCAGTTTTTTAATGACATCATTGCACTTATTTCTTCTCATTCTTTTGATGCGTGTAGCTCATTTTTTGGATATTTTTACCTCAATTATTCCATATGGCACCTTTAAGTAAAAAAAAAAAACAGTCTTTACAACTTTTCCTTGTAACGGAATAATATTTGACCAGTAGTATCTGTACTTTCACTCAAGAAAGAAAGTTATGTACTTTGTCCACCTCTGAGTTTCAAGAGTTTTGTTTGGCGAGAATGTAGCTGTTCAGACCTCGATTCATATATAAACACAGTGCATATTTGACAATTTGTTTAGACGTTTTCAGAGATATTGCTTTGCCATCACAGGGATAAATAGCATTGCATACTATAATATAATAGAAAACAGTTCTTTTAAATTGTAACAATATTTTATGATCTCTCTGTTTTCACAGTATTTTTGATCAGTCTTGGTGACTTCTTGCAAAAAAACATTAAACTATATTATATATTCAACTAACATTCAACTAAAGCTTAGAAAAAACCTTTCTATCCTCTTGTAGTCAATCATTTTATTCCTTAAAAACTTTGTGCATATTTAAACGTTTATTCCTTGCAAAATAATCGTCCTGCCTTAAAATAGCTTGAACTAATTAACTCTGCTCTACACAATAACTCTACCCTTGCCTCATTTAGAATATGCGGTTCTATGAATATGCAAATGAGCCCTGCCTCCACTCACTCACACCAGCTCAGAGATCCACTGGTTGTCAATCACACGTTGACCTGATTGGTTACAAGGTAGTTTGTGACGTCAGAAACACCAGCGATTTCAAACCGTGATTTTGAGACCGTCTTTGGTTAACTTCAGTTTTAAAGAGACAATACTCAGCAATGGTGTGGCCTTATGAATTTACACATGGTTTGTCTTAAAGCATTTTGAAAACACTACATACAGATATAAACAACATTAAAAATGTGATTTTCACCACAGAGGGACTTTAAAAATCAAATAAAACGACTAGAGAACCCAAAATATGAATCATTATACACATTATAGAAACACACAACACGGTAAGCATTCACGTTTTACCTAGCTTTAATGCATATTTAGTCTTTAGTGCCATTTCTTCAAAATGTATCAGACACAATCACTGTTCAATCACAATATTAACATTATTAGAAAGACACACAATCAATATAGATATAAAATGTCCAAAAGTCAAAGGAGTGATTTCTACAGATTCCGTCAATCAATACCCTTTCAATCCACAAAGACGAATTCATCCAATTATGTAAAAAGCTGCTTGTAAACATAAATAGTTTCAGCTTTTTTTTTTTTACTTAATTTGATGAATTGTGCAAGAATCAACCCAAACCCAGGGCGGATGAGCGCTATGGCTTTATATGGCTTGAGTTGTATAGTTGCATCCTCCATGCGGCGACCACAGACAGATAATGTCGTGATGATCAGTCCAAAATATGGGATAGAAAATTACCTGAATTTCCATTCAAATCCCCAAAATGGGCACATATCTTAGTTTTTTTTCAAGAAAGACTGCAGTGCAGCACATAAATGTATCTAAACTCTGTATATACTTCAGTTTTAGGCCGCAGTGTGAAAATTCAAAGGCAGAAAACCAAAACTGACATGCGTCAACTTCACACCATTTTAAAAGCTTATCTTTGTGATCTGGGTCAGTACGACTTAATTCTTTAATTCATTCATTCTGAAAAATAGATGTCATACTTGCAGTTCGACAAGATGTCAAGTGCGACATGCCTCTGTATCATCTGACCCTTTTTTTTACAATGAAAAGAACTACCGAAGGACAGTGTGAAATATGCAAACAATGCAGTGATATGTCTAAAAACATGTTTTGTTTTAGCAGAAAAGCGGTTTAGTTTACAAGAGGCACGTAAACACTGATGGCAATGAAAAGTCTCCATACTTGGCTCATTAGAACACTAAAAGCTTCCCTTATGAGAGCAGACGCTCACATTTACCTTTTTTCTTTAGCTCCCAATATGTTAACACATTTGATTGACCTATTTTTGTAACATGATCCCTAAACAATTTGATCCTTGAACAAACAAAAGCGTCCATGTCTAGAGAGCAAAAGAAAATAATTCAAATCAAACAAGTCACGGAAAAAGAGAAAACCGACAAAAATCCAGCAGGAATGAACAGTAACAGTGTTTCGGATCAAAGCGAAGGCTCTTTAGTGCTGACATGGATTAAAACGAGCGCAAATGGCGGTAGCATGATGTTCAAACGGGAATGAAAAACATCAGAAGTGTCGCTGTCTTCATGGCAACATCAGAGCAGTTTAAAACCTCGTCTGATAAAGACATAAAAGATGTCGGCCGATCACAGACGCGAACCTGCTGTCGAGTTTGTGGAAGAGGGAGAGAGATAAAAAGAGTGCTTCTAGCGTCCCAGATGGCAAACCTGTGACGTCCCTTTAAAGCTCGATGACAGGTAACCTTTGTAGTCAGCGAAGCCGTGCCCCCTTGCAAAATTTGGCATTATGCTAATGAAGGCAGTTTAGTTTGGTTTGGCCCTCCAGAGACTTGTGCGTGTACGACTACAGTCGAGCGAGGACGGGCTTCTGGGTAGGAATTTTACCTCCTGTGTGACAGAGGAAAAGACAAGTGAAAAGTTCAGATGAGCGGAGCTGTAAAATGGAACGGAGAAGCAGGAGGTCATGGCAGAACGGCACATCGACACGACAAGAACTGGGTCACGGTGTAAGATGAGGAACACAAACCAATTCTGTGAGCGAAAACTTTTCTTCTCTACTCTTTCCTCGATATTGATGGAATTTTGAAATCAGAAAAATCACGTACCGTCTGAGTAGCAACTACATTTGAATTTGGACTTAGTTTTTATTTTAATTTGAGTTTAAAGGGATAATTCACTTTGAAATTAATTTTTGATATGTTTTAGCTTGCCTAAAGGGCATCCAAGATGTAGGTGTCTTAGTTTCCGTAGTATTTTCAAGTTTGATATATTTAGGTCAAACCGTTCTTGTCTATCAGTCATATAATGCAGGTCTATGGTCACCACCTCAAAGAGCATGCGCAGAGAAGTCGAAATTAAACATGATTTAATGACTCGTAAGTGTAAGTACACATTGACGGCCTGAGACACGAAACGAGCGGTTTGTGTGAGAAAACGAACAGTATTTATATTGTTTTTACCTTATGTAACCACAGCCACGTCCAAGTATTCTGAGGGCTGTGATTACAAGAGGTAAAAACAATATAAATACTGTTCGTTTTCTCACACAAACCGCTCGTTTCGTGTCTCAGGCCGTCAATGTGTACTTACACTTACGAGTCATTAAATCATGTTTAATTTGGACTTCTCTGTGCATGCTCTTTGAGGTGGTGACCATAGACCCTCATTATATGACTGACAAGAACGGTTTGACCTAAAAATATGAAAATTGAAACAACTGTGGAAACAAAGACATCTTGGATGCCCTTGAGGTAAGCTAAAACATATCAAAAATTAAATTCAAAGTGAACTATCTATTTAAGTTTGTAATGTAATGTGCTTTTAACATTTTTATTAGTTTTTCTATTTATTGTTCTTTTCTATTTTCTATTTATTGTAGCTCATATTTGAATTACTAAAAACTTTTTTTTACTAGTTTTAGGTTTAGTTAATAAAAACAACATGACGGTGCAACAAGGAAGTATTCCACGATAAACGTTTCAAACATTAGTATGCCACATTTGTTGTCAAACGACTTCATGACATGGATGTCTAAGTGCTGTACACTTATATCAATAAAAATGACACATGAATAAGCCAAGAAAGAGATCTCAAAGGTCACTACTGAATAAACTTCCCATCCATTCATCACACTGGATGTCGTCAACCACATTGCATTATGGGAATATGTACAACAGGATGTATACTTGTTATTCCCAAATGTAACACTGTACATGATCCATGTATACAATGCAATATTTTAATTATGATGTTAGAATGTGAATCTTCAAACATTGCCAAACTTGAACATAAGCTATTTTGATGACATCACACTTACCCAGCGTATCCTCCAGTGAGTTCACTGCAATCTTGTTCACCTTCAATGTCTCCTGAGCTCCTCTGTGAGAGACAATTCAGTTCAGTTAAACAACCATAACATTTCAAAAGCCCATTATTATCTACTGAAATAAATACTATAGGGCTGGGCATTGACACACATTTCACAATTCAATTCGATTTTGATACCTTTATATTATATACCTTTGGATATACACTCACCGGCCACTTTATTAGGTACACCTGTCCAACTGCGCGTTAACACTTAATTTCTAAGCAGCCAATCACATGGCGGCAACTCAGTGCATTTAGGCATGTAGACATGGTCAAGACAATCTCCTGCAGTTCAAACCGAGCATCAGTATGGGGAAGAAAGGTGATTTGAGTGACTTTGAACGTGGCATGATTGTTGGTGCCAGAAGGGCTGGTCTGAGTATTTCAGAAACTGCTAATCTACTGGGATTTTCACGCACAACCATCTCTAGGGTTTACAGAGAATGGTCCGAAAAAGAAAAAACATCCAGTGAGCGGCAGTTCTGTGGGCGGAAATGCCTTGTTGATGCCAGAGGTCAGAGGAGAATGGCCAGACTGGTTCGAGCTGATAGAAGGGCAACAGTGACTCAAATAACCACCCGTTACAACCAAGGTGGGCAGAAGAGCATCTCTGAACGCACAGTACGTCGAACTTTGAGGCAGATGGGCTACAGCAGCAGAAGACCACACCGGGTGCCACTCCTTTCAGCTAAGAACAGGAAACTGAGGCTACAATTTGCACAAGCTCATCGAAATTGGACAATAGAAGATTGGAAAAACGTTGCCTGGTCTGATGAGTCTCGATTTCTGCTGCGACATTCGGATGGTAGGGTCAGAATTTGGCGTCTACAACATGAAAGCATGGATCCATCCTGCCTTGTATCAACGGTTCAGGCTGGTGGTGGTGGTGTCATGGTGTGGGGAATATTTTCTTGGCACTCTTTGGGCCCCTTGGTACCAATTGAGCATCGTTGCAACGCCACAGCCTACCTGAGTATTGTTGCTGACCATGTCCATCCCTTTATGACCACAATGTACCCAACTTCTGATGGCTACTTTCAGCAGGATAATGCGCCATGTCATAAAGCTGGAATCATCTCAGACTGGTTTCTTAAACATGTCAATGAGTTCGCTGTACTCAAATGGCCTCCACAGTCACCAGATCTCAATCCAATAGAGCATCTTTGGGATGTGGTGGAACGGGAGATTCGCATCATGGCTGTGCAGCCGACAAATCTGCGGCAACTGTGTGATGCCATCATGTCAATATGGACCAAACTCCCTGAGGAATGCTTCCAGCACCTTGTTGAATCTATGCCATGAAGAATTGAGGCAGTTCTGAAGGCAAAAGGGGGTCCAACCCGTTACTAGCATGGGGTACCTAATAAAGTGGCCGGTGAGTGTATATCAGTTGGATGTATATATCTCTATATATATATATATATATATATATATATATATATGTATACGTATATATATATATATATATATATATATATATATATATATATATATATATGTATACGTATATATACACACACATTTCAAATTTTCCTCAAATAAAAAAAATCTCTTAACTAATGCTGTAAATTCTACAGGGAACCCTGTCAATAGGTACATTACTATAATATTACAGGTTAGAACATTACATCTCTTGTATTGTATACCATTTTATGCATGCCTTATGATAGAATTATTTGATACTGTAACCTTATCAGTAGGTAGATAACTTTATGTCAAAATGATCTTTTGTTCCTACACATAGGGTTACATCACCTCCTCATAATGTGCATTGTATGCTAGTTATATTACTCAGAGTATAAAGGGACACAACATTTCCAGCTCACTCCAAATCATGCAAATGAGTCAGCCTCCAAACAAAGAAATGTTTCCCGCTTTAAATTACACCCTTTTCATCGGTCAAGCCAATTTAAGAGCTGTGACCTCTGCAGAAGTTTTATCTCAGTGACCCTGCCTCATCTTTGATTCGTTCTTGTGGAAAAAGAGAGAAGACATCCAGTCCTATCGTGACGCAATGGGACCTCCCCTCAAAGTTACAAGCCATGTTGTACCTTTCCACAACAACTGACACAGACTTCTTTCCTCAACCTGGAAGAACCTGACTGCAACTTCGACCTATTAAACCATCAAGGCTTTCATCCGAGACTACATCTGGACAAACATCCACATCTGCTCTCAATATTTCCCCCCAGCCCCAAAGCCAACATGAAGATGGACTTACACTTTGACCTTCCGCACGGCTTTGAGCCTCAGGAGAGCTGCCAGAGTGTTCTTCTGCAGGTCTGAGGATAAAGCTTCGTAACACTTCAGACGGCCTGATGCCACGGTGACAAACAGAGAGAAAACAGAAGATTTAAAGATCTAATCACAAGCATACACAGCACAGGAGACGCATAATCAGATCACCTGCGATGGATGTCAATACCAAGTGTGAACAGGACCTGATACAGTACGTAAACAGCCAAAACAGTCGCCCTGTGTTACCTGCCAAGATGAGCTTCAGTGCAAAGTTCCTCGCAGCGGGAACAAACTCCTTCTCCGTCAGGTTCTCATTAGTCTCCTCACACAGATAGCGACACACCACCTGCACAAAAACACACACAAACTTAATAGACCCTTTTACAGTTGGTAAACATGGTGACGTTTTTTTTTGTGTGGGCGGAGCTTAGGTGGAGGCAGAAAGATCCATCTGGACGCTTCACTAACGCTAGTTAGCAAGGATTGTTAGCTTGTTTTTTTAATAATGACTGGAGAAAATCCGATATTATCTTAATGTGTAAGGTCACTCAGTGTCCAGGACCGCGATTGTAATTTCCAAAAGTTATTTTTAACGGACGGAATTAGATTGGCCGACACCTTGCCTTCACACGCTCACTCAATGCATGGATGATCTGACAGGATTAACGTACGTTACCTCGGTTGAGTGGCCTGACTTCTACACCTACAGTACCTTATAGAGAAACCGATCGTAAATAGAAACTGAGGGCATATAAATCTTTAGATGCCTATATGGTCCTGTACAAGACTTGTGTGTATGATCCGCAGTTCTGCCGAGCCAGCGCTGAGACCACGACAATGTAAAGAGACATTACAGTGCGATTTTAATGATGTGAATATTTTCTAGAAATAAAAGTTCCAGATTCAGCATATTCATTTTTCATCAATTCTTGCACCAAACAACACAACAAGATGACATTTAATAATAGTAACAATTATTTAAGCTCCTTATTATGTAGCTGAATCTGTGCTGTTTTACATTGACCACCTCCAGTTTACACTTTGTTTTGCCTCCAGCTAGCGCCGTGACGTAACTGTGACGTCGGCGCAAAAGGGGTCTATATGAACCCAAGATTGGTGTTTTATTTGAAAACCCCTTAAGAAATAAGCTAAATTAAACAGGGACAACTATTAAACTATTCCCACAGACAACACTTTGAATTAATATGTAACTTACTTTGTTCAATTTAATTCACCCTTGCTGATTTTTGTAATTATTTTTTTTTATTTACTGACCCCAAACATTTGAATGGTAGTTGCACAGTGTGTAAGGCGTCACCTGGTATCCTTGCAGGAAGGGGTCCAAAGCTGCACACAGGAAAGCGAGGGTGCTTTGACCGCTCGCTGACATCACAATCTCATGCTCCAATACCTGCAACACTCCACGCTTCGTGAGCAAATAACACGCTTCTTCAAAATCCTACAAACACACATTCAATAATATGTCTTAGAAACACTTTATTAAGAAGACTAGAGGCGAGACGTAATTAGACGTAAATCGTAATTTGAGACGAAATTTAGAGAGTCACGATTTGGTTTTTAAAGGATTCCTAAACTATTAAAGTCCCCGTGAAATCAAAATTGAACCTATTTACTTTGTTAGCGCATATTACTAGTCTTGTGGTGAACAATTAATCCGTGCAAGTGAATATATATAAAAAAAAAAATGCTTTACCTTAGTAATCTTTAATCAAAATCTGAAAAGTTACTTCCGGTCTGGAACGGTTTCTTTTTCTGATGACGTAGGTTTCACAGTTTGGGTGGGGAAACGCTTAACCACTCCCCTCAAACCGTTAGTTTGCTATGAGCGAGAGATGGAGAGGAGGAGCGCTAGAGTAAAACCCTGCCCTCTGTTCAATATTCCGTTTCCTTTGGAAATACGTCACAGCACTGGAGAAAAATCGTTTGCAACTTCCGGTTCACGGGGACTTTAAAATCATTAACAATGTTCAAACTAGTGAATATCCTCGAACCTGAACCGAGTCCCCAGGGCAAAGAATAAATTCGTTGAAGAACATGTTCCTCAGGAAGCTGAAACAGTTGTAGATGTCATCTGGAACAGAAATCACTCTTTATTAGTGGTACTAATCAAGAGGAAAACATGTATGTAATTGATATCTCTCACACCTTTTCTATTGGAGTTTGCGCTTTGCATGGCCAGTGCTAACAGAGCCGGCCTCAGAAACACGTGGAGGATCTGGTTCCTGTAGGAGGCACAGGAGAGCACGACGACGGCTCGGTGAAACACGGCTTCCTCTGGTGTGGTCTCGACCCCCGGCGCATCCGTGACGCTCAGCTGGACGTGTCCCGCGGACACAGTCAACAGGTGTGTGTGCAGAGCTAAACTACAGCTGATGACTTCACTGCAGGACGCGTGATCTACAGAGAGACGGAGAGATCGTATTATAAGGGAATGTTCAAATTAAGGTCACGTAAGCTGCCATAAAGCTATTGGATTTCTCTGAAATGAATTATTCATCGAGCGCATTTCCTTTATTTAAGCAGATTCTGCATATCCTGGAGATATGCATGATCATTTTTGCCATTCTGAGAAAATATGAAGAATATGATATATGATAATGGGATACAATTTCAGACGGCTAAACTTTCAAATTCAGAGATCTTCATTCAGTGATACAAATAGTTTGCCTGTATGTAATCAAATATTTAAAATGATTTCATTTAGGACTTTTGATTAACCATCAGAGAGAACATTTATTCAATGCAATTAATTAAGGCAGACATGCCTATAAACAAACATGAATTAACGATCAACAACAGTACAGTATATACACTGTACTGTTGTTGATTGTTAATTCATGTGTGTTTTTGATGCAATAACTAATGCTCGTTTATAACATGTATGAAAAAAAGATATTTTGAAGAATGTTGGTGACTAAACAGTTGTGGGGCACCACTGACTTCAATAATATGAAAAATAAATAAATAAGTCAATGGAAGTCAATGGTGCCCCATAACTGTTTAGTCACCAGTATTCTTCAAAATATCTTCTTTTGTGTTCAACAGAACCAAAGAAATTCATACAGCTTTGGAACAACTTGAGGGCGAGTAAATAATGATGGAATTTTCATTTTTGCTTGAACTATCCCTTTAAAGTTGCATTGCGCAACATTTCATGTTTAAAAATAGCCGTTTTCTAACCCATAGATGCTTAAACAATCGTCTGATGGGCTGAATGAGCCCTTCTCTGATCACTGCGATCGCCTCTATAATCCTGTACAGTAAAATAAATAAGAGGGATTCGGGCTCGAATCTGAGACTGGGCGTGACGTCATGCGTATTCACGCTCTCCTGGCTATGTGCCTATGTCTTGCAGGTTAAGTGTATTCAGTGCCATTCTCCGTATCAGAGATGACAACTCGAGCGACACAACTTTAGAGAGAGCTCTTCACTTTTTGCAGTTAAAAAAATCACTTAATTTTCAAAGAATTGTATTATTATTATAGTTTTATTTATTTGTGATGTTTTTTGTTGTTGTTTTATAAATGCTCAATGACAATTGTTTAAAAAATGTTTAATCAAAACATCACTTTTTTTTTTTTTTTTTTAGTAATCGTTGCGCAGGACAAGACTTTGGTCGACTAAGGATTTCTTTGGTTGACTACAGCCCTAGAGATTTCATTAGTAATTATGTGTACATATTAGGGCTGCACAATTAATCGAATTTGTAATCGCAATTACAATTATGGATGCCACAATTATGTAATCGTTCAAAGGCACAATTAAAAAAAGTCCACTTTTTTAAAAAAGTCCATATTATTCTGTGTGCTTAAAATGTGTTTTTTTTTTATTTACAGCTTATCTTAAGGGTTTTTTTTCCCCATTGTTTTAATTTTAGTTAGTGTAACATTATAATTAGCATTAAAGCAACACTATCTAACATTGTTTACTTAAAATAATATTTCCAAAATCTTATCAGTGGTTCATCAAGTCGTAACAGGGTGAAAGGCACTCCTGCCGTCGCCTGACGGGGTCTTTATCACTTTTACTGGCACTATGTAACTTCAGGAACCCGACCACAAAAAGAACTACAAAATTCGATTGCTTTACATCAAGCACTACAATATTCATTATTTCATTTTTCTTCATTTCTGTTGTCGCAATACATCATCCTTTCATGAATTCATGTAACACACTCTACCTTGACTGTGGACATAGTTCATTCTAAAGCCGGTGCTGGATAAACAGCGAGCGTGCGTGCGTCGGTACGCTAAATTATTTACGACAGCGGCAATGGACAATTTCGTTTGAAATTGAAATCCGCTGAAACTACCTTAGAAAGTGGTCAGCCTGAGGTTTTGACAAGGTGCTTCTCTTACCAGGCCAGTCCAAGAACGCTCCAAACGCCAGTGCCAAGTGCCTAAGCCAGTCGGTCTGCTCCGTGAGAGAGGAGAGGTCCAGGCCATCCGGGTTCTGCAGCAGCAGCGTGGCGATGAGAACCCAGGGCTTCAGAACCATGTTCTCCTCCTGTATGCGGACCAGGCGGAACGCAGTTTCCTTCAGAAACTCGTGATTCTCTGTGCTGGGTTTCTGAGGAATGAACCTGATTTAAAAAAACACAGAACAGAACAAGGTGCTTCTGTTATTAAACTTGCTGTGTCTGAAATCTGACAGTAGGAAAAAAAAGTCAAAAATTGGCAAACAATTTGATAAATATGAATCTACTACACAAAAAAATAATATTGAATACATGAAAACATGCATGTACACAATAAGTACATTTGTATCAAATGGTTAGTTTAAATGTTTGTACATACATAATAGTTAAAGACACCGAATATAAAGTGGGACCCAAACTCTAATTTTCTATTAGTATAATGTACAGTGACTGGTGTAAGGTAAACACGCTATGTGGCTGCTAGCATGCTTTGTGTGAATAATGTTGACCTTTAGTGCAAAACTTAGGGTTAGGGTTAGGTTAGGGCTGATTGCAGGTGTCTGACCTTGGCAGCAGGTTGTACTGACAGCGGTTTATCTTTCCCTCTGCCAGACTGCGCAAAGATACAGGATGACCAAAGTAAACATGCATACTGCCATAGTCCTCGCTCAGGACCCGCCGGGCCTTCAACAGACCCTGAGAGAAATGAAGGTCAACAAAAACAGAACAATTAAAACTCTTGATGTCTGTCTTTTCAGTAATATGTCCGGATGTTACAAAAAAAAAAAAAAAAAAGCATATATTTACAAACTTTGAGTGAGGATTTATGCCTGAAACATTGAAATAATATTTGCCAAAGTGGTGAGAAAAATACATTTTATTCAACACATATTCTACAAAAAGACTTATCTTTCTGCTTAAATATATATATATATATATATATATATATATATATATATATATATATATATATATAAATATATATATATATATATATATATATATATATATATAATATAGATAGATATATAATATATATATTTATATATAGGTCCTATATATAGATAGATATTTAAATATACAGATATATAAATATTTATACAATTTGGTTTATATATATATATATATATATATATATATATATATATATATAGATAGATAGATAGATAGATAGATAGATAGATATTTTAGGATTTTTTGAGTATATATATATATAATATTTTACATTTTTGTTACATCCATTTGTACACTATAAGAAAAATATTTAAATTATTTATTCTTTCTAGGTACATACTTAACATTTTTACACACCATTCAATGGTTTTCCATCATTAAATTAATCAAAAGACTTAAATTGTTACAATATATATATATATTTTTAACTTTCCATTCATCGACGGATCTAAAACAAAATGTGTCAAGTTTTCCACAAAAAAATATTAAGCGGCAGGATCGTTTTCAACATAATAATAATAGATGTTTTTTGAGCAGAAAATCAGGATATTAGTATTATTTCTGAAGGATCATGTGACATTGAAGACTGGAGTAATGAGGCTAAAAATTCAGCTTTGGTCACAGGAATTAATTACATTTTAAAATATATAAAAATTGTTTATTTGAAATATAAAAAAAATTACATTCTTACTGTATTTATCACTTTTAACAAATAAATGCAGGCTCGGTGAGCATAAGAGACTTCTTTCAAAAACATTAAAAAGTCTTAACCGATCCTAAACTTTTGAACAATGGTGTGTGTGTGTTGTTGAATGTTGTTTTATTGCGTACAAATTACGTATTTTTTTGTTGTTGTTGCTTTTTTATTGGAAAACAAGAAACTGATTAAGAGAATATTTCTTGCTGCATATATTTTGTTCATATACATTATGTCAGCACATAATAATGCGTAGAAGAAGGCCGTGCGTACTGAGGTGGACTCTTTGGGCTTCGGGACACCGAGCAGCTCACGGGCGTACAGGGACTCTTCCAGGATTCTCTCGTAGCTGATGCTGACAGGAACCAGAATCACATCGAATAGCTCTCCTTTAAAAAAAGGCTCCATTACAATATTCAACAACCCTGAGGGAGAAGAAGAAATGAAAGAGTGTGCGAGATGAAGCTGACACAAAACGGTGTTCAAAAGAGGTGGACCTTTTTGTTTCTCTCATTCATCTAAATTTGCTTTTGTTCGGTTTGATTGATGAGCTGCCACCGTCGGGCTCTCCGGGTTTCAAGCTGTCGTTTTGAACCTTTGTGCCATAAATTAGTCAGGGGTGCCATTTCATTCTGGGACTATGATTCAATTGAGAAAATCCTGTGAAATTTAATTTAGCTGGCATCTCACTTCCTGTGAACAAGCAATGCAGACGCCTGCCCAAAAAAATGTTTCCTGTCACCTTGAATTTATTTGTGCAGCAATAAAAAAGGCAGAAAAGTGTGAAAAAGCCTTGACGCTGCACAATACATGCAGAAGTCAGCAAAGAGCTTTTATCAAAATGAAAAATGTCACAGCAGCACAGCCTGCCTGTTTTTGAAATTGCATAAAAATGTTACAAATCGATAGTCGAAGTATAATTACCCGTCTTTGGTGTAAGAGATTTGCACGTCCTGCTTCTAGTTCCTTCCAAGAAGAATTCAATTGGGGCATAACCATTCTGAATAAACAACATATAAAAGGTTAATACTTTTCAACAGTGTATATTTTCAACTGTCAAGACTGGAAGTTTACATTAAAGGGTTATTTCACCCAAGACTTAGTTAAAGGAGTAGTTCACTTTTAAAAAAAAATTTTTGCTGATAATTTACTCACCCCCATGTCATCCCAGATGTCCACGTCTTTCTTTCTTCAGTCGAAAATAAATTAAGATTTTTGATGAAAACATTCTTGGATCTTTCTCCATGTAATTGACTTCAATGGGAACCAAACGGTTCAAGGTCCAAAAGACAGTTTCAGCAAACTGCAAACTGTTCAAAGGGCTTTAAACGATTCCAGACGATGAATAAGGGTCTTATCAAGCGAAACGATCGCTCATTCAATAAATAAATAACAAAGTTTAAGTTTTATAAGCTCAAATGGTCACCTTGCTCTGTTCTGTGATGCGCGTTCGTGACTCTCCTGTTCAAACTCTTTCATCAAAATGAACAAATCTTTTTCCGAGTCAATTCGTTCATTTCGTTCGTTGAATGAACCAAATGACTCGAAAAAAAGATTTGATCCTTTTGTTCCTTATTCATCGTCTGGAATCGTTTAAAGCCCTTTGAAAAGTTTGCAGGTTGCACTGAAACTCTCATTTGGACCTTGAACCGTTTGGTTCCCAGTAAAGTCCATTATATGGAGAAAAATCCTGGAATGTTTTCATCAAAAACTCTTTTCAACTGAAGAAAGAAAGACATGGACATCTTGGATGACATGGGGGAGAGTAAATCATCAGCAATAGCTTTTTTTTTTTAAGTTAACTACTCCTTTAAATCCAACACATTATGAAGCCTGTATTTCATCCTATATTAAAGGTCTAATTTCCTGCTCATTTGTTCAGTTGTTTGGGTGAAGGGTCTTACCCTCAGCATGGTCTTCACATACTCAGAAAACACAGCCCAGTAAAGTTTATCTCCTCCAAACGACCGGCGGATGAAAAATGCTCCCGACATACGCAGCATCTCACCAATAAACTTCATGCTTATGAAATCTGCAGGAAACATCATGACATTAGTAAACACTACATGTAACGAATGAGTTACATTGAATGAAATCAACAGTTTTAATCACGTTACTGTAAAAACCATGTAAGATGAAAATATTAACTAACTTTTTCTAGAAGAATGCAAACAGCATATTTCAGTTTTTTTTTTGTTATTTGTAAATTATTTTTAATTTCATTTTTATTCATTATAAGTAATATGTTTAAAGAAACATATGTTAAACTTAAAAAAATTCAGTTTGCATTTGCATTCTTATAAAAAAAATCTGTGGAATCATGTTACAATTTGATTAAATTTGCGCTGATTAAATCTAATAATCGCTTATCATATGCAAGTAAACCGTGCAAATTATACTTTGTTCTCGAATTGTCAATGCTAACAACGTCAGCATTGCGTAACTACATATAATGTCCTATAATGTATCCTTGTTTTCGCATGGGTCCAGTTACAGTCTCTTTTTCTGTAGCCACTCCGAACTCCTCAGAACGAAGTCTTTTGCATTTTACAGCGGATGAACCTGTTGTCACTGGTGATTGTCGTTTGAACATTTCTGGATCCGCTATCAAATTGATACGTTTAATTATATGAAGTGCTGTGAGAAAAGACTATAAATCTCCACCTCCAGTATCCTCACACACAATATAGCTCTTCTTTATGTGTACAGATGTGACGTAATGACTCAATATAGCCGACTAGCCGAGACTCTTCTTTATGTGTACAGATGTGACGTAATGACTCAATATAGCCGACTAGCCGAGACTCTTCCTTTATGTGTACAGATGTGACGTAATGACTCAATATAGCCGACTAGCCGAGACTCTTCCTTTATGTGTACAGATGTGACGTAATGACTCAATATAGCCGACTAGCCGAGACTCTTCTTTATGTGTACAGATGTGACGTAATGACTCAATATAGCCGACTAGCCGACACTCTTCTTTATGTGTACAGATGTGACGTAATGACTCAATATAGCCGACTAGCCGAGACTCCTTCTTCACGTGTACAGATGTGACGTAATGACTCAATATAGCCTACTAGCCGAGACTCTTCTTTATGTGTACAGATGTGACGTAATGACTCAATATAGCCGACTAGCCGAGACTCCTTCTTCACGTGTACAGATGTGACGTAATGACTCAATATAGCCGACTAGCTGAGACTCTTCTTTATGTGTACAGATGTGACGTAATGACTCAGTATAGCCGACTAGCCGAGACTCTTCTTTATGTGTACAGATGTGACGTAATGACTCAATATAGCCGACTAGCCGACACTCTTCTTTATGTGTACAGATGTGACGTAATGACTCAATAAAGCCTACTAGCCGAGACTCCTTCTTCACGTGTACAGATGTGACGTAATGACTCAATATAGCCGACTAGCCGAGACTCTTCTTTATGTGTACAGATGTGACGTAATGACTCAATATAGCCGAATAGCCGAGACTCTTCTTTATGTGTACAGATGTGACGTAATGACTCAATATAGCCTACTAGCCGAGACTCCTTCTTCACGTGTACAGATGTGACGTAATGACTCAATACAGCCTACTAGCCGAGACTCTTCTTTATGTGTACAGATGTGACGTAATGACTCAATATAGCCGACTAGCCGAGACTCTTCTTTATGTGTACAGATGTGACGTAATGACTCAATATACTGTAGTCTACTAGCAGAGACTCTTCTTTATGTGTACAGATGTGACGTAATGACTCAATATAGTCTACTAGCAGAGACTCTTCTTTATGTGTACAGATGTGACGTAATGACTCAATATAGCCGACTAGCCGAGACTCTTCTTTATGTGTACAGATGTGACGTAATGACTCAATATAGTCTACTAGCAGAGAATCTTCTTTATGTGTACAGATGTGACGTAATGACTCAATATAGCCTACTAGCCGAGACTCTTCTTCATGTGTACAGATGTGACGTAATGACTCAATATAGTCTACTAGCAGAGACTCTTCTTTATGTGTACAGATGTGACGTAATGACTCAATATAGTCTACTAGCAGAGACTCTTCTTTATGTGTACAGATGTGACGTAATGACTCAATATAGCCGACTAGCCGAGACTCTTCTTTATGTGTACAGATGTGACGTAATGACTCAATATAGCCGACTAGCCGAGACTCTTCTTCATGTGTACAGATGTGACGTAATGACTCAATATAGCCGACTAGCCGAGACTCTTCTTTATGTGTACAGATGTGACGTAATGACTCAATATAGTCTACTAGCAGAGACTCTTCTTTATGTGTACAGATGTGACGTAATGACTCAATATAGTCTACTAGCAGAGAATCTTCTTTATGTTTACAGATGTGACGTAATGACTCAATATAGCCGACTAGCCGAGACTCTTCTTTATGTGTACAGATGTGACGTAATGACTCAATATAGTCTACTAGCAGAGACTCTTCTTTATGTGTACAGATGTGACGTAATGACTCAATATAGCCGACTAGCCGAGACTCTTCTTTATGTGTAGAGATGTGATGTAATGACTCAATATAGCCGACTAGCCGAGACTCCTTCTTCACGTGTAAAGATGTGACGTAATGACTCAATATAGCCTACTAGCCGAGACTCCTTCTTCACGTGTAAAGATGTGACGTAATGACTCAATATAGCCTACTAGCCGAGACTCCTTCTTCACGTGTAAAGATGTGACGTAATGACTCAATATAGCCTACTAGCCGAGACTCCTTCTTCACGTGTACAGATGTGATGTAATGACTCAATATAGCCGACTAGCCGAGACTCCTTCTTCACGTGTAAAGATGTGACGTAATGACTCAATATAGCCTACTAGCCGAGACTCCTTCTTCACGTGTACAGATGTGACGTAATGACTCAATATAGCCGACTAGCCGAGATTCTTCTTTATGTGTACAGATGTTACGTAATGACTCAATATAGCCGACTAGCCGAGACTCCTTCTTCACGTGTACAAATGTGACGTAATGACTCAATATAGTCTACTAGCCGAGACTCTTCTTTATGTGTACAGATGTGACGTAATGACTCAATATAGCCGACTAGCCGAGACTCCTTCTTCACGTGTACAAATGTGACGTAATGACTCAATATAGCCGACTAGCCGAGACTCTTCTTTATGTGTACAGTAGGGGTGTAACGGTACACAAAAATCACGGTTCAGTACGTACCTCGGTTTTAAAGTCACGGTTCGGTACGTTTTCGATACAGCAAAAAGAAAGAAATGCCAGAGAAATTTCCTATTTGTTTAAATAAAAAATATATTTTTAAATAAGTGTGAGTTTTCCTAGATCTTGAAATTTCAGGTTTATAAATGGGGGTCATCTTTGAAGGATGAACAAATAATGTTTTGGTCATCACATTAAAAATAACATTTAAATATATATTTATTTATATAATATTTGAATTCTGAAGTGCTGGAAAAAGATGTGTGAAGTACTTGAAAGCATTTCACTATTCCAGCCAAACTGGTTCCAGGTGGTGTTACTATATTAAATCCATGGTGAATGTTGCTGGTCTGTGGATGTAGAGTATTGCTAGTTCATTCACGGCACAATGTTTCTCCTGGTTTCCACGACAGCACTGTTTGATCTAATAGAGATCTATGGTTAATAACGGAGAAAAGTGAACGCTTCTCACTAGATCTCGCAGTGATGTTATTACCTCAGTGGCGAATTCAAATGTTTTCTTTACCGGATCTCTTAGCGCTGTGTAGTAACAGTGTTGCTTGATGGAGATCGGCTCGCGCTGCACAGATGTTGCAGGTCTGAACTGATAAACGATACCAGCACATAATGAGTAGCGCAGTTTCGTTCTGCTTTCATTCGCTTGCCATTTGATGTTGCGCAACGTTGTGTTGGCCGCGCCAGCACGAATTTTGTCGGCAGGAAAAATTATCCAAGCAATCGTTCGGTTTGTATGTGTACCGAACCGGAAGCCTCGAACCGAAACGGTTCAATACGAATACATGTACCGTTACACCCCTAGTGTACAGATGTGATGTAATGACTCAATATAGCCGACTAGCCGAGACTCCTTCTTCACGTGTACAGATGTAACGTAATGACTCAAAGACATGCTCGAATCTCCAGTGGAAATCCACCAGTACCACTGGAATTAAAAACATTATTACAAGCTAACCGCTTTGAATCGAGCTACTGCAAGCAGACAGTTTTAAACACTGGCTGGTTATGTATTTTCTCAAAATATGTATTTTGGATCATTTTTAACCCCCCAAAAAGCTACGGACTGCAGCTTCAAAATTAAACTTCTATTCGGAAGTACTTCACAATATGCAAGAAAATGTGTGTCTCCATCTTCATGACATCAAAATTGTATTATCATTGTCTGACAATACAACAAGAAAACTTTGTTTTGTTTTCTCAGCATTCAAGCACAACCTTACATGGTTTTTAAGCAATCTATTCGACCAGTGTGAGTAGGTAACCTTGCTCAAATTGCAGAGTATGTTCACCTTAAGCCTTGTCTGTGAAACCAGGGGAAACCATTTTTTGTACTGTGTTGGTTCTGCTTGACGTCCAATTTACAAAGCAAGTGAGGCACCTGGATCTAGGTGTGTGTAATGCTTTTAATGAAACACGTCTGGGAAATCGTTAAGCTTGACAAAAGGGGTGGAGTCTCTTTAATTGCCTGCTCTAGAAAAAGGCACAGCAGAAGACTTACAGGTATTCTGGAGGTTCCTGAAGTTTTTCAGCAATGGGATTAGTGGTTCTCAGTATTTCTGGATTGTTGCTGCTAACAGCAATTGATTTGTGTTTTGCACAGTGGTCAGGATTTCAACAAGGCCAAGACCCAGTAAGATTTCAGCAGCAACAGCCACCAGTTTTAGTTTCTCAGCAAGCTGTCCAAGGCCCACATGTATCAGCATCTTTTAGGTCTCAAATGGCTGCAATGAACTCTGTTGAGGCTGACCCATGGAATCTTCTTCAAGAGCCTGGAAATACTCAGTCCAAACAGCTAATGGAGGGTCCTGTTGCACCTTTGACGTGGCGTTTCCCAATAATGCCAGAAGAACCTCAACAGCCAGATGTGCCTTTTGAGCTGCGTGTACCTGTAGCTGCTGAGAGTATTGCTGCACAATGTGGGGAGAACCTTGTGCATGTGGAGGTTAAGCAGGATTTATTTGGTACTGGTCATCTGGTGAATCCTTCATTCCTCACTTTGGGAGGCTGTGCGGTTGTAGGGGAGGATCCAGAAGCTAAAGTCCTTATCTTTGAATACGAGCTCCAGACATGTGGCAGCTCTGTGACTGTAAGTGGCTGCTAATGGGTCAACCCTAGAAAGTGTAAAAGCCAGGTCTGTCCAGTAACCTGTTTCTTGTACTTCTTTCAGATGACTAATGATGAGCTTGTTTACACCTTCACCCTCCTCTACACTCCAGAGGCTTTAGCAGGAACTCCCATTGTAAGGGCTGATGCTGCAGCTGTTGGAATTGAGTGTCATTATTCAAGGTAAAAACAAACTTGTCAAAGCCATTTTGCCAAAGGTTACATTTTCTTAATCGTGTCTTACCACATCCACTAGGTTGCAAAATGTAAGCAGCAATGTGCTGATGCCCAGCTGGGTTCCTTTTGCTGCTACACAAGTTGGAGAGGAAGTTCTGGTGTTTTCCTTGAAGCTCATGACTGGTAATATGCAATGTTAGAATTTCAGAAGTGGCTAGGGAATGTTGCCAACATGAGTTTCGTTTCAGATGACTGGATGTTTGAGAGGCCATCCAATCAGTACTTCCTAGGGCAGTTCCTGAACCTTGAAGCTTCAGTGAGGCAATACAACCACGTCCCTCTGCGTATCTTTGTGGGAGACTGTGTGGCTACTGCTGTCCCTGATGTAAACTCTTCTCCAAGATATTCCTTTATTGAGAACTATGGGTTAGTAGGGAATCTCTCCTTAAACTCCCGTTTGCAAATGGTGCCTAAAATCTTAACCCACGCCATTTCTCTCTTCAGGTGCCTGGTTGACGGAAAGCTCACAGGCTCTACTTCCAGTTTCATGCGCAGGGTTCAGAATGACAAGCTGCAGTTTCAGTTGGAGGCTTTCAGGTTCCTGCAAGCTGATAGTGGCTTGGTATGCAATTTGGGCTGTAGATCTGTGGGCAAGTTCTCTTTCTAGTCATGTTTAACCGTGTCCTCTTCTTTAGGTGTACATCACCTGTAGTCTAAAGGCTGTTATGGCCTCTACCCCGACAAGTCCAGAGAACAAGGCTTGCTCCTTCAATAATGGGTATTGCATACCATTTGAGACCTCTAATGATTTGAGTTGGTAAACGGGTAAGCATTTTTCTTTCTTTTCAATAGATGGACTTCTGTTGATGACAATGACCAGGTGTGTATGTGCTGTGACTCCACATGTGGTTCCAGCAGAAAAGGACGAGCACTACCTGATTCAGGTAACGTAGGAAGTCTTTGTATTGCTCTTGCAGAAGGACTTTCAATTTCTCATCTAGTCTTTGTCTTTTTCAGGCCTGGTATCAGAAGGGAAAGCAACCCTTGGCCCCATTGTCATTGCTAACTGATGTATTGTGATTGCTGAGAATTGCCAATAAAAGTCTCTATTACTGAATTTACTTGTCATATTTTGTAAAGGCATTTTGGACCACCAGAACTGCTTTACTTACGTTAACTTAAAGTTCTTGTGCAGGAATGCAAAGATTTTACTGAATAGGAACTGGTGAACACGCGGTTGTAAGCAAACTTTAAGTCGGAAGGCTGAGTACCCTACCTTTTATGCATCTTTGAGAAAGAGACCAAACTGCACTTTGGACAGATGTGCAGAAAGTGCACTTCTGTGCAGAAAGTGAATTCTCAAGTATCAAGTGGTTTTACAAATGTGACTCTTCAAGTGAGAAGTCCATTGTATGTTACTCTGTGTAAGCCAAACCAATAGACTAGCTTCAATTTAGTGTCTGTAGATGATAAATTGCCACCTTGAATTACAAAGCTGTGTTCTTTGTAATAGCAAACATCCATGTTGGCTACAGCAACGTATGAGGGTCCCCTTACAAAAAATGTGCTGTAATGCCACTACCACTACACCATACCGGCTTGGCTCGCCTTTGTTTGGTTTTCCACTGTGTAGAAGTTGTACCTGTACCTGCTTTTGGGTACTTTAGGTTTTTTTGTATCACCTCTGGAGAGGTTTTGAGGTGATGCTAAAATGTGACGAGAAAACAATGCTGATTGGTCGGAGAGAATCTTCACTGCGTCATCACTGCGCGTGCCAGATGGAGTATCCAAAATATCCCCACCATTTTTAAATAGTTTGGCCAGAGATCGTTACTATTATTATGGCAACTCTTAAGAATATGCCGTGGTCAAACAAGGAGGTGCAGACTTTCCTTTTGTTTGGTTGCCAAAGAGAGGATCCAGTGAGAGCTTGATAGGGCAACGAGGAATGAAAGGCGTCGCTATGATGACCGGGTACTATTTGTGGCGGTACTGTCTGCAATGGAAAACGGAGTGAAAAGCGAGACGAGTCGAGGTGGTACTAGTAATGGAAATGCCCCATTAGTATAATTAAACTAAAAAGGGTATGCGTTAATCTAATTTATGTACTTGTCAGACTTGATAGAATTTCAAATGTTTCGACGTTCCAGCTATTACTCTTTGTTCTAAGGATACTGTTTAGACCAGGGCCCGTGTTCATTAAGATCCTAAGAATCCGCTCAGAAAACTCTTAATTTATCTTTACTTTTATGTAGGAGTCTTAGTTTAAGAGCGATTCAGGACCAATTTGAGAGTAACTCTGAGTAAGGAAAAGACAAAAACATTCATCTTAGTGAGGAGGCGGGGTTCACCCCGTTGCCATGTATGACACAATCTTTTAAAGACTATGATTGGTTGGTTGTCCAAGAAGGGGAAAAAAGAGTGATTTTAACTATAGGGTCTATTCTAAACTTTCACTTTGAAATTACATGCATAATTTTTCCTATTTTGCCATTCTCTCACACACATACACACATTATATATGTGTATATAAATCATTTTTTATTATTCCCCATGATATTAATTTTCTATAAGGTATTTGTTTGGCTTAGAATGATGAATATTGTTCCACTCTTTCCAACTGCACTGATTACTGGCATGCCTAATGGTGGTTTGAATGTTGCTTTTAATGTCACAAACATGGAATCAAAACCAAGAAGGACAACAGAGCCCAACTTGACAGAAGAACAGTGTTTACTGTTAGCCCAGTTAGTGGATGAACTTTAAGGCCATCCTAAAAAGGAAAATTTGGGCTGGGTTTCAATCTATAGCATCTTATTAACTCACCGTCATCCATTGTCTGCAATACATTTCTCCTCTGCTAAAGAAACTCTTTAGCCTCTTCGTCCGTAGTCCTAACAATTTTGACCTTAAGACCTATTTTAAGGGTTAAGATACTCTCTGAATTACTTTTTTCTTTACTAGGATTTTTTCTATAATTTTAAGAGTAAACATCCACATTTCTGAGATTTTTGTCACTTTTGTCACTACTCTTTGCATTAAGATTCTTTATGAATACAGGCCCAGGTCATCCCTCAAAACTCCCAGAGAGAACAAGAAAACTTGTGGGATTAAAACACACTGTTGAATCCAAACTCTCTTCTCAAGCAAATCAAATGGGTGTTTAGAAGGCTGGCATAACAAGTTATAAGACCAACATTTTGTGGCAAGAACTTTTAGACCAAATCAGAAAAAAAAGAACAGATGATAAAACAATTGCAGCATTGCGATTTTGATGACTACCCTGTTCACACTTCACACCCACCCATTCCAGCTGCAATCACGGGCAGGGGGAGGTCGTACATGTAGAGTAAGTATGACATCATCAGGAAGTCCATGTAACTACGGTGGCTGGGCAGAAGAACCACCGGGTGCTCCTGTACAGCCTGCTGGAGCTGGAGAGAGAAAACATGACAAATTAACTCTATTTACATGGTACATTCATTTAAACAAATGGCAAGACATCATGATTTTTTTTTGTATGAAACGCTCACCAAGGCTGATTTGATCAATGTCATTTATTTGTGTGATTACAAAGAAATTCTAATATATGGATTTGCAGGTCAATAAATATGTCTAATTAGTATTATTGGAAATTGCATAATATTTTTGTGGCAATTGTGATACACTAGCATTCACTATATATAAGGGCTGTGCAAAGATTAATTGCGATTAATCGCAACCAAAATAAAAGTTTGTGTTTACATAATATATGTGTGCTGTGTATAATTATTTTGACTAAATACACACATGCATGTATATATTTAAGAAAATGTGTTATTCATATATAAAATATTTATATTTATGTATAATATAGATTATGTATATATATATATATATATATATATATATATATATATATACGTAAGGATTTCTATATTTTTATTTCAAAGAAATGCTGTTCTTTTGAATTTTCAATTCAAAAAAAAAATCCTGAAAAATAATATCATGGTTTCCATAAAAATATCAAGCAACACAATTGTTTTTAGCTGTGATAATAATAATAAAAGCATCAAATCAGCATATTAGAGTGATTTCTGAAGGAATACATTTTGAAATTATATTCAAATATAAAACAGTATTTAAAAGTCTAATAATCTTTAACAATATTACTGTTTATTCAGTATTTTTAATCAAATAAATGCAGCTTTGGCGATTAAACACTGATATTCATATAATACCCTGTGTAGGAAGCCATCAGCTGAACTGACCAATAAAGATAATATAATTAATATGATAAGCACATTTAAACAGACAAATTTGAGACCATAATACTAATGAGAGCGTCAAAAGGAATTTAAGCCCCTCTAAACCCCTGTAACCTCTAAGCAGTAACACTGATGATTTCAATTAGAACATGTTTCAGTAACATTACTGCTTCTAGTAGTCAGGTGACAGTGTCTACACCAGGTGTTTCAGAAGGAATGCATGTTGGGGACAGTTAAGAGTCGCTCACTCTCTGGATGCCCTCCTCGTTGACACACACGCTGCGGAAGAGTCTCTTGAAGGCTTTGCTGAGCATGAAGGCGAAGAAACGTACAGTGCTGAGCTGAAGTCGTTGAGCCATCTCGTCCAGAATCAGAGACGCTTCCTCCGTCACAGACTCACAACTGTCTCCTGATTCTGATGAAACCTACACACACAAATCAGTAGCCATTAAAACTCCCAGGGTTTGATCTGTGTTTTTAAACATTGGTTCAACAATACAGATGCCGCTGTAATGAACAATGCACCTAATGACTACTTTACTGTGAAACGATTAATCGCATCCAAAATAAAAGTTTGTTTTTACATAATATATATATGTGTGTAGGGTGTATAATTATTTTGTATATATAAATACACACATATGCATGTATATATTTAAGAAAAATGTGTTGTAATGTGTATAAATATATCAAATATTTATATTTATATTTAATATTAATTTTGTATAAATATACATAAAGTATCTACAAGCAAATATCTCTTCAATATATACATGCATGTGTGTGTATTTATATATACAAAGTAATTACACACACACTACACACACATATGTTTTGTAAACACAATTTATTTTGGATGCGATTAATCGTTTCACGGCCCTACTGTATTTGGTCCCTGTCACTTTAATTCACTTGATGTCCTCAAATATAAGTGAAAATATATAGATTAAACTGCGTGACCAAATTTTTTATTTATTTTTTAATTCTTCGGAACACAAAAACAATCATAAAAAGGTTAAATGGTCCTGAAAAAAAAATAATCACACTTGTATTCGCGGTCAAAAATGGGCGCTTTGGAAAATAATGGAAGAGAAATTTAATCTAGTGGAAACGTTTGGTATTGCGCACAATTGAAGTCTCACTGAAAGCTAATTTCTTTTAGATATCAACCTCAAATTTGGACACAGCCTGTTTAGATTTATGGCTTTTTTTTTCTCACAGTTTTAGAGTAAAATGTGCGTCATTTAAAATTAAATAGTGCATTTTTCATGAAAATACATGTAGGCCTAAATGTAAAAAATGTTTTTTAAAAAAGCCAAAGAGTTAAACTATGTTGGTAAAACAAAACTCTTGACCATAGTTAGCTAATGATTTATTGATCGCTTTAGGAAAACGAACCCAGAGCATTACTGACAGACTGGGAATAGAGGTGCAGCAATGTGAAACATAGTGTGTTTTGAACATTCAAGCATGAAAACCTATTCTAGACCCCAAACGCACAAGCAAGACTTTGTGAAAGGGCATAATAGGTCCTCTTTAAAAGCACAAGCAAGTTATTGCATGAAAATATGGCATTGAGGGAATGGTGGCGCTCTGTACCTGTTTAATGACATACTGCAGGTGGTCCGACTGCAGGACTATGGTCTTCAGCATGCTGGCTTTGCAGGGCACTAGACCTTTATAAAGTAAGGGAGTGTAACATCTCAGTGCGTATCTCAGATCACTGGAACGCCGCCTCTCCTCCAGGACGTCTTCAAAATCATCCCGCTTCTTCAGCATCCGCTGCCTAGACTATATGGAGACAGGAAACATGTTTGTTTATAAAGCGATAGGATGATGGTGATCAGTGATGAAAGTTTAAGGGCTTTTATTATTACAATTACATAAAAAAATGAAGATTAAAATTACAAGGACCAATATTCTTGTATTCTCGTGTTATTCAAAACCTTTTGATTTGCTTATGCTAAAATGGTTTCAGTACATTAATATATATTTGAATTCAAATTGTGCATATTAATTAATTTACAGAATGCCCAGAGTGTGCATATCTGTAATATGTCCGAAACTGTTTATAATTTATTTGAAAATAAGTTATATTTCATGAGATCGTTTGGATTGTGCAAAATTCCTTTTTAATCATTTGTGTTGTTTCATTGCTTTAATAACTTTCTAAAATGCAGTTCATTAGTCAATAATTAATAGGTAGGTCCATTTATTTGTAAACAATGTAAACAGAACTAAAAATGTTAAAAATGAATAGATTGAAATAGATTTATCTTAAACATAATAATTAATAAAATTCCGCCATATTAAATATAAAGTTGGCACATTTTCAAAAAACTATTGACTTTATGGAAGCCGGTTTATAAGATTCACACTGCAAGTGTTGCAAGCATGTACTACTTTGTCAGATAGCATGCAAAGACAAAAATGCACTGAAACACTTACCGAATACAGTGTTCTAGACGTCATTTCCATTCAGTATCTATCAAAGCATGAGTGTAGCATATCAAATGAGTTCTGTGTGAGAAAGTTTGTATCAAGGTTGATCGCTCGTGTCACAGAAATTCCTCATTCCTGTCCTGTCATAGAAATAGGCCACAAGTCAAGAGAACAGCAGCTGGAATGACGAGCGAGTATGAAACAACAATTACCGGGTGGGCGGGGTTTGGTGGAACTGCTGACAGATTGGGATTGGTCAGAATATTTTTTTTTTTTTTAAGAATTATTATTATACTTTTTGCTGCTCTAAGATAGTTGTTTAATGCCATTTGTGAGTTTTCCCTATTACGCCACAGACTTAAATGAGGTGTCCTAAAAACGCCTCAATGTAAACAGACTAGAAAAATGATTGGCTAAACTACAGGATTCAGCCAATCACGAACGAGTTCTATCTGTCAGTCATTTTGTGAGTTTGAGTTTGCTGGATTACGTTTGGTTTTTATCAGTTTTTGGAGGGTGAGCTTTTTAGAGACTGGGAGATTTGGTAAATAAATATGGCTGAAATTTGCAAAACGGAAAAAATATCTGATAACACCTGTAACATTTCGCAGTATATAGAAAATGGTATGATAACACGTGGTACCGATTACTTTTCCCAGTGCTGTCCGGATCGGCCAATCACTGACGTTTGTGATTACTAAATTGCTGTTTTATTTAAACAATCTGCGCGAATTTTTATTACAGGAAGCACATTTTTGAAATTAATAAATTTTAAAAAGTGTACTTCTTATAGTACAACTGTCTCCATTATGACAAAACCGCCGAGAGATTATAATGCGGTTGAATGCATAGACAGTAAAAGAAGGGTTAATGGAGGTCTGTCTCTCTGAACCTCAATGCGCCGCCTGGAGGAAAGCTTGAGGTTTCATTTCGACAGATGTTAGATTTCCCTCCTTCTAATCCTGATACTTCTAATGGGCGGTGTCCGTCAAAATTGTGTTACTTCCGGGAGGTAGAACGGATTTACGGAAAGCAAAGAAGGACATATCGCGAGTATGATGCACACACGTGAAACACACGAAAGCAAGGCGGTCTGTTAAAATCGTGTTTTATTTTGCATTAAAATGAGCGTAACAAGAGATCAACACGGCGGAGAGGTGGATGATGATCGTTTTTTCCTCGACCAAGTTCTGGACAAGTTGTATGATTTCGGTAAGAGTTAATGTTTTAATATAACATGCTAACACATTTGCAGATGCTGATTTAAACACCATTAAGTAAATTACCAAAATGTATTAATGTCAGAATTGTATAACCTTCACCCTATGTTGTGTAGTATTGTGTTTACATTTACATTTTATACTAACGTTAGTACATTCAATGAATGTATCTATATGCATACATGTAACGTTATGTACACAGAGTATCCCAAAAAATGTGCTGAAACAGTACTTAGTATCCAGCGAGCATAGTAGTAACTAACAGTATATTGCCTTCAGAAAGCTTCTTTTGTGTAAAGAATAATTTATTGAAATAAAAGGTTCATTGTTATTAATTCCAACTAGAACTGTATTGCATTGTGGGATACGATATTACACACTTGATACAAAGAATGCAAACGGCAGTCTATGAAGTTTCTAAATAGAGGTTATTTGATCTCATTTTTCGTGTTTAGGTCAACACAAACGACTGAAGAAGTCTCAGAAAAGGAAGAACTTCACTAAAGATGAGAAAGATACTGTCCAACATGACACAGACTCAGAGCAGCCCATGACTAACTCAACAGTATGTGGAAGCTTACCATCCGGAGCTAAACAATCTAATGTGGAGGTTGTTACATTTATTGATCCTCGGAGGAAGAACCAATTATCAAAGGCTGTTGAACTAGTTAAGAAGGTAAGAGGAACATGAAGAAGTACATGATCTGCATCTGTGCTTCACCTCAGCCCTAAATGTCATGTGACTGACTCCCTATTATTGTTTGCGTCTGAAATCAAATACTCTCTGTCTTGACTTGAGTAGGTACTTATTTTGAATAAGTAATTACTTCACAACTGCTAAAAAAGTGTGTTCTATGTAGTATGAGTGTGAATGTATTCGCCATGTTGTCATTATCACGTGACCTACCAGCGTCAGTTGTGTCGCTGCCGTTCATACACCCTCTCCAGTGACCTCATGGGACAGTAATGTGTCCATCATATACACACTTCAGCATCTCTGGAAGTAGTAGGTCACCTGGGGACTTTTGGCCAACTCTTTTATGAGAAGTGTGAATTCAGACATACTTCTTTTGTCACGTACTGATAACCTACTATAGACCATTTCACACGATGTAAACAACACTGGTCCAGAAGCACTTCCTGTTTCAGTTTTTTAACACTACATAAAAGCTGGGATAAAATACAACCAACAGAACATTTAAAACTGAATCAAAAAGTTAAACAAACATCTTTAAGATATTTTCTTTACATGTGAAATAAAGAAAACAGTTACAAACAGAAACAGGAAGTGTTTCTGGACCAGTGTTGTTTACATCTTGTGAAATGGTCTATAGTAGGGAGTAATGCGATATCAGTTGCAGTGATGAAATATTTTTGTTGGCCAAAATTATTTTTAGCGCCCCATTGCAGTTATACATCATAATATGAGGGAGAAAAAAAGTTTTACGAATGTATGCATGAAACTACAAAAAAGTAACAGCTGACTGCAACTGCATTCACTTCTTATGTTTTCATCCATGTTTATCCTCAGGCTCCTCCTGAGAGGAAAGAAGTCAAAGAGAAGAAAAAAGTCCCAGATGAGAAACTAACGATAGAAAAGGTAAGATTATTGCCACTTTTCTAAACTTAATGAGATGGTTATGTAGTCGGCATTTTAAAGCAGCACTATGTAGTATTTTCAACCTTTATAATATTTTTCCAAAACCCTTGAAATGGTACATCGACTTACAATAGGTTGAATGACATGTCTACCATAGCCTCATGTGGTCTGTGTCGCTTTTACTGGCACTCTGTAACTTTGAGGAGCGGGTAGGAACCTGAGCACAAAAAGAACTACAAAATTCGACTGCCATACGGCATAGTCACTTCCCCCACTTCCTCAAATTCCGACGCGAGAGCCCAACGAGCGTTTTTTATTTTTATTTTTTTTTAACCTTTGTATATTGTCATGGCTCTGGTCTGGTACAAAATTTTGCACTTCAAACTTAACTAAATGTCCTTTCATTAGGCCCTATGTTCATGACACAATACATTTTTCCAAATTGTGTGAAAAAATTTGTGAAATATAGATATAGATATACATAGTTAGAATTTTTTAGAAAAAACAATTTTGTGAAATTCTGCATATGGAAATAGTTCCGAGTCAGTAACTTCTCATTTGCAGTATGTTGAGCCTTCAATATCTCATGAACTCGTGTCATGCATGTCGTCCTCAGGCCCGGCTCGAGGTTCACAGGTTTGGACTGTCAGGGTACGAGAGGCAGCAGCAGAGGGTCTTTGAGCAGGACAGAGCCATCATGCTGGGAGCCAGAGTGAGTTCAACACACATCCAATAATCAGACCTGTTAACACACTTGAAGCCCTTCTATCTGCTGTGTGTCAGCATTGCCACAAGGGGTGCTATAGCAGGCCAACAGAATCTCACAGAGAAGCACTTTTAAATTACAAGTGACACAATCCAGATTTTTTTTCTCCTATAGCCCCCTAAAAGGCAGTATGTTAACTACAAAGTGTATCAACAAAACATAAAAGAACGGAAGATTAAAGAGAAAGAAGAAGCAAAATCCGTAAGTTCAACATTTCAGTTTGAATGGTTGTTGTATGATTACTTTTTAAAGCGCTTGATCACTTCTGCAGCGTGTACAATCGTTCTGCTAACTTTCCTTCTTTGGGTCTTTTGACAGGAATCGCAGAACAAAAGAAGGAAAGAAGGACAACCAAGGTTTGTGTTTGTCTTGAGCACAATGGCCGTAAGAAGTTTCGTTTGTTGCTCTTTGATAGTTGTCGTCTGTGTATGCTTGATTTGTATTAGCTGAGGCTTAAAGGGTTAGTTCACCCAAAATGAACACAGAACACAGTTTAAGATATTTTAGATTTAGTCCAAGGGTTTTCTGTCCCTCCATTGTAACTGTATGTACGGTATACTGTCCTTCTCCAGAAAGGAAATAAAGACATCATCAAAGCAGTCCATATGACATCAGTGAGTTAGTTAGAAGCATCGAAAATACATTTTGGTCCAAAAATAACAAAAACTATGACTTTATTCAGCATTGTATTGTCTTCCGGTTCTGTTGTCAATCCGCGTTCAGTGGCGCTGCTGACGTGTTATCTGGTGCGTCCGAGTTTCGTTTACAGTCCGAGGGAGACACTTTTGCTGTAAACAAAACAATCTTTGCAAACATGTCTAAGGATTTCGACACAGAGGAAGACTTGCATTTTAAACTGTGTTCTGAAGATGAACGGAGGACTTACGGGTTTGGGACGACAATCATTTTAATTTTTGGGTGAAATAACCCTTTAAGGCTGGGAAGCCAGTGTCAAAAGAACTAGACAAAACCAGACTGTGTTGCAATCCTTATGGTGCACATAAGCAAAAAATTGTCTATAGTGTAGTTGTGTATGAAGCACCAAAGTCACTTTAAAACCAAGCATCTTTCAATGCGGCGGATTTGCGTGTCCAACATCCACGTGGGGAACGTTTTCGTTGCCTTGTAAAACTCAAAATTGAGTGGATTCCTATATAAATGACTGGATTTTCCCCACAAGCGTTTTGCAGAGCGCTGGTAACTGTGTCAAGAATAGTGTTGCTCATTTGTTTTCTTTTCTTTTTCACGTTCCCAGGACTGAGAGAAGTAAATCCTCCTCTAGCGGAGAGCTCGGTGGACAAGTCGGACGCTTCAAAAATGGAATGCTGGTCTTGAGCTCCAGAGACATTCAGAAATATAAAGTTAAAGTCAAAAAAGGAACAGAAGATGATTAGCAACAGAAAACACAAATGCAGGAGCATTTATACTTACACTTGTATGGAATATCACACTTTGTCTGAACTGGAATAAAAATGCGCCTTATTTTGCCTCGGTCATTATACGCACATATTTACATATCCTTGTTGTTTATTTTCTGGTTTCTTTCACTGTTCGTGCTGAATGACATAAATGGCACTACTCATGCAGCTTTTTGAGGTGTACTTTTACCTTTTTACTATACTTTTTTTATAGAATAAATAATGCTGAAACACATATTTTTGGAGTTTAAACGACCAATTTTAAGTCATGTGAAAAAGTAAGTAAGAAAATAATGACACGTGGATCTGTCATCACAGTTTTATTGTTTATTAAAAGGGAAAGACGCTGTTTTTCTTCCACACTAAGTAGTAAGAAAAGAATGTCATGTACAATGCATTTGATATACAAACCACAAAGACATACAAAATATCACATTAGTAAGAGGAAACGAGAGCTCGAGATCACACACAGAAAAAGAGCAGCGAAGACTCACACACGTTGGTTTTCGTCGAGGATGATGATGAATCATGAAGATGTCACACAACGTGTGTGAGGCCTGTGTCTGCAGGATCGATGGAAAGATGCGTTCGGGAAAAAGTTCGTCGTCTTTCCTTTTCGAACTCTTCACAATGAGATAAGCTGAGGGCCGAACACCTGACTAATGTACATCCACACAAGCAATATGTTGTATATAAAAATAAATCCTTAAACGCTTGATACAGTGACAGATTTTCTGTTAATTCATGGGACTATGGGACGTTTTCTGATGATGGTCATATTAAGCATTCGCCTGTATAACAAACACCCCAAGACCATTTCATTTTGTGCGTTTTTTAAAAAATCGTAAAGAGATGGGATTTCTCTATTTAGGAATTGATCTGTGCTTTCTGTTGATGGAAGTCTCTTCAACTTTGGCCACTTTTTACGTTCGCCACTTCAAATTAAAAGCGTATCCATACTTTTACAATGCTATATTGCATCTTTTTTTACCTTTGTTACAGATGCAGACTTTTAACCTAACCCCCTTTTTTGAATAGACATAGAAATGTACATTTCAAACTTAAATGGTTCAAGAATGCTTTGAATATAGATAAGAAGAAGACATTTGGCAGACTTTTGTCAAAGTGAAATTTAAGAAAGTGAAACAGAAAAAAAGCTGACAAAACCTGGGCTACTCTAAAACTGCAGAAAAATCAAAGCCAAAATCTGAAGAAGTTGTGTTTAATATTTTAGGTTGATATCTCAAAAAATTAGCTTTCTGTGAGATTTTGTTTGGGTGCAGTACCAAACTTTTTCACTAGAGGGCACAACCAGACTCCATAGGGCGCCTCCATTTCCATATGCTTTTTGGGTTATTTGAACCATTATTTTCACAATTTTCATACAATTTATAAAGCAGAGATCCTTTTCAGAAGTAGTATGGGAAGTTTGGCAGATTTTGTTATGAAGTCAACCTCTAAGAAACACGTACAAAGAACACGCATGCACGTTATAGCTTATTGCCACATTACAAATGGTGAATTTATTATATTTATTTATATTTTTATATTATTATATTTTATTTATTATATAAAACATTTTCAGACCTTTTTTTGTAAAATAATTGAATGGATGCAATCTTTTGAACTTTTTTTTTTTTGAAGGTTTCTACCTTTTTTTTCATGATTTTTCATGTTCATTGCTATTTCAAAATAAAGGTCTGAACATGCTTTATGAGTATGAAAATATTCTTGTTGCAAATTGATAATTTACGGATCCTGTGTAATTTATTTTGAAAATCAGTCACCAAATATGGAAACTAGAGATTGTAAGCTTTCAAATGATATATAGTTTGTCAATATTACTTAAGGTCTTTTATAAGATTTTATTGTTTTAAAAATGTAATGGCAAGCTTCCCACCTGTGGGATGTGACAGTTAAGGGGTTAATCTTTATATTTAATTATAAAAAAAAAATAATAATTATACTAATATTACAAATTACATAAAATAATTATTTTATGTAATTTGTAATATTGATTGTTATTGTGCTTTTTTGGAGTAATAAAAGTATGAAATGTGTTTAGGATTCACAAAATGGTAGCTAGTTATCAAATTAGCCTTAGCAAGATGCACCGTTCGACATTGTTAGTTGGGACAATTAATGGGAGTTTACAAGGCAAAAAGTCGCCATTGTTGAAGAAACACCCGGATATGAGGATTTAGTTTGTTGCTTTCCAGCCTGGGTGAAAGCACACCACATTCCCAAGAAACGTGGCTAATTTTGGCAGATTTGTATGAATGAGGCACAGCACAAGGTTAACTTTCTCAGCCTAATGAATATTACAAATTGGGAAAAGTAAGGGACACTATTCCTCTCTGAGATCTGGATATATCAGGTCAATGGGGATAATGGTTAAATAAGTAAACAGAATTCACAAAGTAACTCTTGCCAGGATTCTTAGGATCATATCCATACAGTATTTCACTTTACACATTAATTCTCCATTACTGTACAGTTGCTTTATTATCATACATATACAGTGTGCACTCAAGTTCTCATGTCAGGGTCTTTCCCGTCTCAGCAAACTTTCAGGAGTGTGCTTTCTTTCATATTCAGTATGATAGGCCAGTGATTCTGACATAAACTTTTAAATATACTTTAATACAAAAAATTGTAAAACTGTAAAAAAAATAAAATAAAAAAAAAGACAATTCGGCAAGATAGATTCTCAGCAGTTTTGGAAGGTGTTAGTGTTTCCCACTTCGGATTTAAAGGAATGTTCGAGGTCAGGTACTCCAAAATGGAGGTCCAAAAGCATATTTTCATTTGGATTCGGTCATCATGACTTTTGCAGACTCAACTTACTCAGGTCTATATGTTTAATATTTCAGTCTTGTGACTATAGACAGTGTGTATTCTAATATATTGACTGGCCTTGTGCTTCCTTTACTCCTGTTTTTAATTGGTAAAACACCATATACTTTAAATGTTGGTAAAACTGAAATACTCTTAGCACTGTAAAGATGCAAATGACCCGGGACAACATTCCCAGACATTAGATAACATAACCAGACAATGGCCTTGACTGAACCCGGAACATTCCTTTAAGCGTAGCTTTCGCATTTTATTTCTCTCTCTCTTTTTTTTTTAACGCCAATAACTGCCTATTTTTATTTTGGTACTCCTGACAGCAAAATACTCACCGAACAAACTATTTACATGAATTAAACTTCATTGAAATGTGTTATAAATATCAACAACATCCCATGCTTTACATCATCAATGGGTTATCTGCTCCCATAATCTGGTAAATTAATATCTGGACAGGATAATAAACATAAATAAAATATATTTCCATTTATCTCTCATTTCTCCCTGAAACCATTATAATTTGAACAGAGGTATAAGATGAACATAGGCTTGTCTCTCCTATTGTGAGGTCCATAAGTGGCTCTTCATAGCTTTATTGTGACATGCACCAGATTTATGAGAATTGTATGCAAGTTAGGTGAGTGGCTTCTTGGTTTAACTCAAGGCTATATTATCAGAAAGTAACACTAGGGGGCAGACTGCAACTTATCTGCGTCTATACTGTATTCCGCTTTTATCCGTGTCATCACTGTGCAACACAATATAATGAATACGTAACTCATGCACGCTTCACTGCTTTGACCATATTTACAGCCTATACAACATGCAAAAGCAACCATCTCTCCCAACAACATGGTATGACTTGCTATTCTGGCATTGTCTAAAAAAAAGCACAGAAAACAAGGGTGCAGTGTGGAAATAATGCTGATAAACTGAACCATAAGGTGCTCATTTACTTGTCACTGAGGTGTATGAAGCTTGAGCCTGTCATTTATTAAATGTCAAAGTGTGTAATTTCCACGTGACTACTAGTGTCAATAAAAGAGTGCTGCAGGTATGATATCCCTTTGTAGGCCAAAACACAGAAGTGAGTTAGCAATTTAGCACTTCCAGTCGATGGGTTTTTGAATGGGGTTATGGTTAAATGGTTGAAATAAGGTCTGTGTTGAACACAAGCTCAAGAAACTTTCACATTTTATTCTATGACATAAAATACATTATAATACAGTATTACCCCACATGTGATTTTAAAAAAAGCTGTTACATGTCTTGAAAAAGGCGGTTGCTAACCAGTGGCTAAATGTGACTACAGAGGCTGACGAAACTCAGTCCTCTTTTACAGCAATGTTATATTGATAAGTGTGCTCTTATAAACTACTCTAACTCAAACATACAGCCTTGCTTAAGCTTTTCACTTCTGGCAACTGAATTTAGTCTTCATAATCCATAAACGTTGTGTACATTTGTTCAAGTATCATAAACGTTTGTGGATCACTGAGCTTGTTTTTAGCGATAACCCAAACGCCTATGGGAAAATCCTATTGCGCTTTTGTCAAGGTTAGCCTACAAAGTGACTTCTTAAGGCCAATTTATACTTCTGCGTCGAGCGTTCGCCGTAGTTGTGTGAGCATTTATACTTCTGCGTTCAGGTCTTGGCTGCTCTGCAGTACTGCTCCGAAACACTAGTTGGCGGCGGAGGGTTTTAATGTTCCACTGTGTTTCGATTCCTCACGGCTAGGTTGTCTATATGGGCTATATGCACGCATAAGTTCCGCATTTGACGCAAGGATGCTCGTCCATTTCCGGTTGTGGAGATTTAAGCGGAGGAGAACCGAGGAAAACGGGATTATGGCAGAGTCTTCAAAATTTACTGTCCTCCCGTCTTTGAAACGAAACGTACATACGTTTAGATGTAATTTTATATATAGTTATGTTTATTTAATATAATTTTAAAAAGAAGTATAAACACAACGAGGGGTGTCTGTTTTATCTGTTTTTGTGACTAACGTTTCTTTATTATAACCATGGAGTATAAAATTCAATATAAATTCTCGGTATTGCATTGGACTCTACGATCGGCGGAAGTTATCGAGCATCCTTAATCCTTCACCGGAAATACCGCCGTGCATAGAGCCCATTACTACAAGCAATAGAGTGCCGAAGTTACGACGTCACTCTGTAGGCCAAAACGCGGAAGTAAGTTAGCATTTTAGCATTACGGTTCCCTCGCTCTAAAGTCTATGGGATTTTTGAATGGATTTCTGCTAAATCGCCTGAAATAAGGTCTGTGGTGAACAGAGCCTCTAAATATTTTCACGTTTTGATGTATGACATAGAACACACAGTTATAACCTGCTTGTGTTTTTTTAAGCTTTATTGTGCCTGATTATAGTGTTTTTTAAAATCTTTATATAGGCTTCAAAATGTATACATTTTGGATTAACTTGTAAAGATTATCTTGCTAGACAAAACGTGTAAGGGTCACAACCCTTTGTTAAACACAGATCTTATTTTTTGCGATTTTCCAAAAGTCTATGGGGAAAATGCATTGCTTTTCGACCGAGGGAACCCATGCGCCGCTAGCTTCCGACGTCTTACAAAGTGACGTCATCACTTCGGCACTCTATGGCGACTGAAAGAGAGTGGATCATGTTGGAGTTGGAGCTTATTGAGGTGGAAAAACAGTTTATTTTAGTAAAATTACTAAAACTAGAAGGCAAAAATGAGAGAAGACGTCGAAGGAGATGGTATGTGTGGAAATACGTAGGAGGAAATGCGATGCTACCAAGCCGACCAATCACAGATCTTGCGGTCCACTTCGTTGCAACTTGTAGTTACATTTTTGAGGAGGTGCGCGTCAGGCTACAGCGAAGAGTACGCGGTATGGTACGCGTCTGTGCGTATGCTACGTCGTACCTACTGCGCGGACCCTACGCAGAAGTATAAATTGGCCTTTACCTGCACCACTCCATTTACAAAAATAGTGACTGTTTTCAAATGGGTTTCTCGAGCACTCTTCTCTTGTTGGTCGTAAATACAGATAGCCCCGCCCCAAACTCTCACCATTGGTGGAGTCGTTGTTGCTAGGGCTAGGTCAAACGAACCCCGAGCAATGTTTTTAAAGCCTTACAGAGGCACAGTTTACACTTTTCTCTGAATCAACCTAGGCAATATTATAATATTGATCTGCCTGCATTGACAATATTATACAAGAACTGAACTGAGCTGGACAATGACATCACGGTTTACTCCAGAGCGCCTATATATATAAAAATGAACTAAATTAACAACTTTTTTAAAACAAAAATGAAACATCACTGAACTTACGTAAGCTGGACTGTGTAAGCTATTTTCATCTGGAAACAAACTTTTTTGCATTATTTTCCTGTTCTCACTGTAAAGCTGCTTTGAAATAATCTGTATTGTTAAAAGAGCTATATACATAAATGTGACTTGACTTGACTAGGCTAAAATGGCTTACTTACAGTTGCCTCAGCATATTAAGCTGGGCTAGGAGAAAAAAACACATTTCATCTTCAAGACTCGAGGAACACGTCCGTCACAGTGTAAGGAGATTTGAGATCTGGCTAAATATTCACAACTGTGGCTCATATGAAACACCAAGACCAAATATACTTGGTGGTGAGGGAACAATCCATCTCTAATGGGAGGTATTATTTCATTTCTGTAAACCAGAACTCGTGTGTGTGACAGGTATCACAACTGTGCACACGATAAGGTACACCAGCACGTAACTCATCCCACAGTATGTGCTACGATCATGAATGATACCTCAAGTTGTGCAGCTAATTCAGCAAGTGTGCTATTTTGTAGTCCATGAGGTGAAGACTGTAAGTAACCTCCAAGCAACTACACAGAACAGATTAGAAACTTTAAAACAACCCGGTTTAAGCCATCCAGAGCACACAGCGACTGCATAGCAACGCCCTAATCACTCTATCCTCCATTCGACTATCTATTTCTTATTATACGAGAAAGATCTGCATCAAATATAAGGATTGGAATTTGTTGAAGTAAAGAGATTGTAAACTCACTCTCGTCACTAGTCACGTCTCTCTCTGACGCAGGGCCTTTGGCTTGACTGGGATTTTTTCAATCCTAGCAACCCGGTATGAGTGATGATGAATTTGCTGAGGCCTTTTGAATCACACAGCAGATTAAAGGTGAGTAAACCTGAGATTCATGTAGCATGTGAAATTAACCTGAAATGATTTCAAATTCACTTTTAGTCTCGCAGTTGTTTGATTGCTATCGGTTGCTTTACTCCGTTGCTAACCTATCAAATGCTTGATACGTTTTAATTTGTGGAACTGTGCTAAATTTTCATTGGAGGTATGAAAAAGAGACTGAACTCTACTTCAAAGTGCTTTGGGGTCCGACTCCATCTTCGGCCCCTGTGGGGATAATCCAGTGGTTTGTTTTTCTGTAAACATGGAAATGATTTGTAAACACTGAAATGCAAATCACCCAGATGAACATAAGGGAAAACAAATATAAACCAAGCTCAAATATTCCAAAACATATTTTTTCCAGAGCACTGATTCGTTTGATAAGAAAGATCTGCCTCGTTCTCATTGGTCAAAGATGATCACATGATGCTCTTTGGGACTTCCAGACCTGTGATCAGAGTCACCTGTGAAACATACACATTTCAATCATTAATGCGGATCACTAGGGATGGGAATCATGAGGAATGATCTTGATTTATGATTAACGTTAAAAGATTCTCGACCATCCATTAACAATTCTTAGTAGTTTTGAGGAAGGATTTTGGGTGTGTTTACACTAGTTTGGTTCACTTGGTTTGTTTGGTCTGGACCAAAATATATATATTTAGTCCTGGTCCACTTTTTTCACATGGGCGTTGCCATTTTAACACTGAACCTAGGTAGGGATACTCTTTTAGAGGAACTAATTGAGCTCTTACTTCAGAGTAGGGTCTAACCCAGCACTATAGGAACTATCCGTGAGGTTAGTGTACGCTGATTGGCCGGACACACGCAAAACACCAGCACCCACCATTTAAAAAAAAAAAAGGCTGTGAAACGCCCCATTAGGCCTTATTGCATCAAAAGTGGGCGCGAAATAACAGTACCTTTACCCTCCGCAGTAGTTGATTGGGAGTATTATAATAACATTATTAATAATCAATACTGATCAAGGCATGTTGACAGACAGTTGTGCGAGCTGACAAACAATTAAAATAAAAAATACACACTTAGTCATTGTGCTTTGGAGTTTATTCAAAATTATAAATGAATGTGTTACTTGAATACATTAACTGGCACATTTGGTATTCTGTCAACACAGACTTTGATCCTGAGTTTAGGTGTAACATCAGTAGCGAACAGCCAATCACATGCTGATAGAGTTTGTAAAATATTAAGAATTTAAACAAATGTACACACAGGAAGATTCGTCGTCTTTTGGGAGGTGATGGAAACTACAGTCGTTGGCAGGATCACTCTGATTTCGTTTTCAGCTTATGTTCAAAACAATCACGTTTAAGCCACTGAATTAGTTTAGTCCGGTTATACATACAACCGCGAACAGCACATGTTGTCCCTGAGCTCCGTAACGTCATCTCTCATAAAGATTTGCGTCTTTAAATAGTAAAATAATTCCCCGAAAAACAGCTAGCCTCTTCGCTAACTAACACACAAAATACCACTGGAATGCTACTTCCGCCGCCTCACCGGAAGTTTCACCCACTTTATTTTTTACAGGAGCGCCCCTCGGAAACTTGTGGATAGCCTATATATTTACACCACAAACTAACTCTACGAACATGGAAAACAGTGATAGATGGACCTCTTAACCTTAACACTGAGGAGAAAATCCAACGCAACTTTGAGGTGACCAAGCCAAACATGATGATGTATTTCTGCTCAGCAACACTGGACATCAACCACACGGCATACACTACTAATGAACACAGAGAATGCGAGCATAGTTTGTTTGCTCAGGCTCTGGCGTTTCTCAGCGTCGTCAAAATAATGATCCGCCGTACAGTCAAAATAAAAGTCACAACAACAAGTGCGGCTTAAGTCACTTCAGAGTTCCTACTGGCGGTGTGAATGCAACCAGAAAACATTCCAAGGGGAACCATTAGTTCACGGGGAACCATCCTGGTGGTTAGTTCCTAGAACTAAGATCCTAGTACTACCCCGTGAGAAAGCCCCAATGGTTCCCCTATATGAACATATTCGCAACACCAGTAGGAACTCTGAAGTGACGTAAGCCGCGCTTATTTTTGTAACTTTTATTTTGACAGCACTGAGAATGCCTGAGCTCACAGTGCTCGCATTTTCCGTGTTCATTAGTTTACGATCTGTCTAATGTTATTATATAAAACTGTTACGCGTAGAAAGTAGACAGTATGAAAAGCTATTAGTGTTTGCCGTGTGGTTGATATACGTAATCATGTTTGGCTTGGTCCTCTTCTGTTGGATTTTCTCCTCAGCGTAAAAGTTAAGCGTAGGTTCTATCTATCACTGTTTTCCAGGTTCATAGAGTTAGTTTCTAGAGTGAATGTACCTGTATAGGCTATAATCTGTGTGTTTACACAGATGGCGAGTGCTGGTGTTTCGCAAGCTCAATTAGTTCCTCTAAAGTAGTTCCTAGAACTAAAATACAATAGTTCCCAATTCCTGCGGTGCGAATACGCCAAAATCCGGCTACTTCTGCCAATAGTTCTAGGAACTATGAAAAGGTTCCTCTGCTGCAAAAGCCCCTCAAGCCTGGTTTTTGGTTTGTTTACATGCCTTTGGTTCATGATGCGTTTTCATGTTTTCCATCTTTTCAGCATCTCGGTCTACTTGTTTGGTCCTCACCAGGGTTCAGATGGTGTTCACACTTATTCAAGTGAACCGCACAAACAGAGCAATCGCACCAGGGTTCGTTTTAATCGAACCAAACATCCCAAGTGTGAAAACACCCTTAAAGTACCTTTTTTTACAACAAAACAAACCAAAAGAATCCAGATTTTGGTCAAGAAACCTAAACGTCTTGAGAATGATGATTTCCAATGCTATTAATCACTAAGTAGGTTAAAGGTCAGTGTGGATCTGCTGCTCACCTGGACGTTGCGGTTGAGGCTAACGGCAGGCATGAACACACCCTCCAGGTTCTCGAAAGCCACTGGTCCGTGCTGCTGTTTATTGATGAAGAAGGTCAGTGTGTGTTTTGTAAGGTCTAACAGGATTCCCACAGTCGAACCCTTTGAGATGCCACCCTCAGCCCTGCAAGAATCAGGCAGAAGAGGAAGGGGACAAAAGAAGGTAATCAGTGACACAATATATGGCAAAAGTATTCAAATCTAAACAGCTGTAATAATTAATTGCATGTTATCAAGTTTCCACTTGTTTATGTTGTTCTGAACCAGAGAACTGGCGTGATACAAAGTGGGAAGCAGAATTGTGTAATTTAGCTTGGAACTAGAAGCAGGATTTTTAAAAAGTCAGAGTTTTCTTTTGATCCGAGATTGTAGTGGAGCTGGAGCAGAGCACATAAACCCAGGGAGGGGAAACTGCTGTGGCTCCACTCCAGTCTGAATGTAACTTCCGAATCACAGCAGAGCTAATATTAATATTGCAGGATGACTGATGAGGGTTGAAACCAGTGGTTCAAAAGTTTTAAAAGAGGAGGCATTTTTACATATCATGTATTTCTAAACATTGGCCATGGCTCCATCTGGTGTCATAGGGTTGGTTCACCCCCAAAAAAGAAAATTTGGTCAATTACTCGCCCTCATGCTTTTCCAAATCCATAAGACATTTGTTCATCTTTAGAACACTAATGAAGATTTCATACATAAATTATGGTGAACGGAAGCTCAAGCTTGCTTAATGTGCAAGAACCAATGAGGTTTGTTCTCGTGTGACAAGCAGGCACAGTTTCTTTCACCATTTTGATGTGCGTTGATCAACGTTTATATAGCCTATGTGAATAAAATTCTAGTGACTTTTTTGAAAGCTTGGATTGAACTGCTCATTTTATAACGATATCTTTATGACCTTTTAGAAGCTTGACATTTTTGGTTGTGTGGATGTACGAAATGCTGGATGTAAAAAATGATGAGAGAATATGAAAATTATCTTCATTTGTGTTTTGAAGATGAATGGAAAACGTAAGGGTATGAAACATAAGGGAGAGTAAATGATGGCAGAATTTTACTAACATGGATTTCAAATGCGTCTCCTGTGCTGTCTTGTGTTCGAAGTTCTTCAAGACACTCCCCTCTTATTAACCATGACGACGCTAATCTGTGTGTTCTGGTTATAATGCAGAGAAGTTTGAATCGCCTGCTTTGGTTTGCTCCCTCACACATCCCATTATAACGTTTGTGTGTTCGATAAGTTGGCGATGCTTCACCGCAGTCCGGGACGGTTGAGCGTTTACACTACAAGTGTGATGTGGTCGCATGCATTTTTAACACCCAATGTATGAGGTTTCAGTGGACTTGATTTCACCTTTAAGTATTAAGATACTTCAGGATTTATAATTAAACTTTGTATTAGTAGAAAACCTGTAGTATTTTCGAATTAGCATGCTTTCCACCCTTATATCCCCGAGATGAGAGATTTATGTATTTTTTTCTGGAAAAAATCCTCCGATGATGCAAAAATCATAATTTTGCGTGTTTACATGAACGCTAAACTAGTGATCGGTTGATGTGCGTTTTAACATTGCTAAGAAAATTCCCGCTCCTGCGGGAGAGATACGAGACCGATGCGTCTCACAGGTGTCGCTCAACGGTAATCACGCCACCGGCCTCGCGCCGTCCTCTCGCGGCCCTCACTCGTCCTGCTCGACACAGTAAACATAACGAACGGCGACTGTAGAACGCAAAAGCCGGGCAATCTCGAAACACATTTTCGGGCAGACTCATCACGGAGAGTCACTAGTAGCCTAGACTTGTTGTTTAACGACTGCGCTCTGTTACCGGTAGGGCAGCGAAGCAAGTGCATTCTGGGAGTTGTTGTTTTTCATCCACATAAGCCAAAAAAAAGCATTTTCTGGCTTTTCTCAGTCTAGAAAGCTCCAAATTCAAAAATAATTTCACATTTCTTCTACATAAATGTCCAATTTTAAATACACATTCATCTTTCCAGAGGTGAAGTAGTCCAATTACAAGTGGTCAGCACTAAAAATAGGTGGTCTAAACATTTTGTGATCAGATTACTGAAACCACATATGGAGGTAGTTAAAAACAATTTTTTATTAGAAACGCTATCTGTCCTGATTGCGTCCTGAATTCCAATAATGTGTTTGCTCAGGGATGCATTGTAAGAAAAAAAAATGGATTATGGTTCAAATTTGCATCTGCCCTCCTTATCCTTTTCATTCGCTTCCTTTCCCGCTCGGTTGCGAATCGCATAAAGGCCCGTTCACACCAAGGTGTGTGAATCACTACAAAGTGATGTCATAGCTGCACCAATCTATAGCTGTCATCCTTGCTGTGAATGTGCCTATTAAGACATTTGTGATTAAATCTGAGAGCTGGATCACTCTTTCATAGGCTTATAAGAGTTCGAAACTGGCTGGCCCAAAAGTTACGAAAGAGTGACTACAGTGGCTCAATCTTAAGTTTATCAAGCGACGAGAATACTTTTTGTGGGCAAAAAACAAAAAAAACGACTTTTTTTTAGTAATTACTGACAGAATAATTAGAGTAACTACTGAAAGAATTTTCAGTTTTGGGTGAACTAACCCTTTAACACTGGGAATGTCTCAATGAAAACCGAACAAGATCGGTCACAGGAGATGCATTTAAAATGTTAATACCAGGTGGAAAGGGTAATATTCTCGGTTGACAACTTATGATCAGATTCTCGAAAACACATCTTAATGCCAGATGGAAACAGGGCCAGTGATCTGATTTTTGTCCCCGCTTCCACCTGTATTTAGTGCAGATCACCAAAAATGCATATTACTACAAACAGGAAAACTATGTTTCTGAAACATTCTCTCATCTAACAACCATCACAGAGCTGATAAGAGAACTATAACTATTACTAGTTGTACTGGAGGGACTATAAACTACTTTCACAGGAATGCTTTACCTGCTTCGAGTCCCTTGGTGATGGAGGAACGAAAGAATAAAATAAAAATTTGAATGGGGAATATATTAAATATTATTAAAAATGGATAATATGAAAGGAGATGCATGTATCCAATACTGACAAAGAAGTAGAACAAGTTTGGCTTCGGGCAACATTAAGTGGGTTAACCCACAAAAGGCACAGATTTCAGATTTCAGGGATTGCGTTTAATGTTAGCTGTACTGTTAGCGTGTCCTCTCAGTCACCTCAGTATACAGAAACAGAATTTTAAATGGTTGCATTAGTATTCCAGTGTTATAGTCAGTGCATGCTTGATACTCGCCTGAGGACACTCTATATCAGCACAAGTGTGACATACAGCATGTTTACATGCACCACATTTCAGTTAAGCTTTATGTTCTGGTTAAACCCTCATACTGAAACAATGGTTATAATGCTCCACAAGATGTGAAGAGTTGCTGAGTTGTGGAACTGGAAGAGACTTGTTGATATGCAACATGGTGGAAACACTGACCTATAATAAGACTAATACTAATAATAGTATTATATCATATTTCTGCAACCAATAGAGTGCCGAAGTGATGACGTCACTTTGTAGGACAACTCGGAAGCTAGCGGCGCATGGGTTCCCTCGGTTGAAAAGCAATGCATTTTCCCCATAGACTTTTGGAAAAACGCAAAAAAATGAGATCTGTGTTTAACAAAGGGTTGTGACCCTTACACGTTTTGTCTATCAAGATAATCTTTACAAGTTAATCCAAAATTTATACATTTTGAAGCCTAAATAAAGATTTAAAAAAACACAATCAGACAAAATAAAGTTTAAAAAACCACAAGCAGGTTATAACTGTGTGTTCTATGTCATAGATCAAAACGTGAAAATATTTAGAGGTTTTATTCACCACAGACCTTATTTCAGGTGATTTAGCAAAAACCCATTCAAAAATCCCATAGACTTTAGAGCGAGGGAACCGTAGTGCTAAAATGCTAACTCACTTCCGCCTTTTGGCCTACGGAGTAACGTCGTAACTTCGGCACTCTATAGAGATCAGTGAGTGAAAAATCAAGTCTTTAGCGAATGGTGTTGAGGCCCTATTATGGGTCTACTAGAATCGGTTTTTAAGCTTGGAAACATTGTTTTTCACATATTTTACATTGTTGCAGCTCCTCTTTTCTCAGTCTGACAGTAACTCTGTTTGGTTCCCATCTCTATGAAACTCCAACTTCTGAAAAGCACAGGATGCTCTGATTGGTCGAGTGGAAAAGTGTGTTGTAATTAGTCAAGTGTGTTTCGGAAATGTCACACCCTTTACCATAATCGTGAGTTTCAACATGTTACTAACGCGAGATGACCAGGAGTGTGTTTCCCGTACAGAGACGTGACTCGCTGCTTTACTACCATAGTATGATGTCTCGTTGAAAAAATCAACTAGCTAGTCACGACTGTTTCCCAAATCCATTTTGTCGCGAAGTGGTCATTCAACTACGTTGGTTAATGATGTCACGCATGTGGTGGAGTAATAACTTCTTTTAATGACGTAGTAACTCTGGGAACTCAGTTATTTTGGTGCTATTGGACTTGAGCGCGGCTTTTGACACGGTTGATCACGACATTCTGCTATCGCGTCTAGAAAAGTGTGTGGGGCTTCGAGGTACTGCTCTAAATTGGTTCCGATCGTATCTTAAAGATAGAACCTTCTCAGTGGGTATTGGAGATGCTGTATCATCCGTAGCACAAGTCACTTGTGGTGTCCCCCAGGGGTCTATTTTGGCCCCCATATTGTTTTCATTGTACATGTTGCCTTTGGGCTCAATTTTTAAGAAATATGGAGTGTCCTTTCACTTTTATGCTGATGACACCCAAATCTACTTACCCTTGAAACAAAATGACAAGCAAGGCTTAGAAACCTTGCGTGATTGTTTAAATGATGTTCGAGCTTGGTTGTCTTTGAATTTTCTGCATTTAAATGAGTCTAAGACTGATGTAATTGTTTTTGGGCCCTCCGCGGGAAAGATAAAACACAATAATAATTATGATTCTTTAAATGATTATGTCAAACCTACTGTGAGAAATTTAGGAGTTATTTTTGATGCATCCCTCAAATTTGACAAACATATTAATTCGGTGGTCAAGTCGTGTTTTTTCCACCTTAAACTTTTATCCAAAGTTAAACCTTTTTTATCTTTCAACCATCTTAAAACTGTAACTCATGCATTTGTTTTATCTCGTTTGGACTATTGTAACTCACTGTATGTTGGTTTACCTAAATCATCCATGTTGCGGCTTCAGATGGTCCAAAATGCCGCTGCCAGGTTTCTAACTGGAGCGCGTAGACGAGAACATATCAGCCCGATATTAATGTCTCTCAACTGGTTGCCAGTACATTTTAGAGTGGAATATAAAATTTTAATATTTGTTTTCAAGGCACTGATTGGTCAGGCTCCGTCTTATCTGTCAGACCTTGTCAACGTGAAACACTCAACAAGATGCTTGCGCTCTTCTGACAGTATCACGCTTGTACACCCAAAATCCAGACTGAAGTTGCGAGGTGATCGTGCCTTCTCAGTGGCTGGTCCTAGGCTATGGAACAGCCTTCCCTTATCTGTTAGATCTGCCACATCTATGTATGAATTGAAATCCAAACTGCAGTCATATTTTTTTAACCGCGCATTTCACTCTTAACACTGGTATAAAGAATGCAAACGTAGTGTTTTATTGCTTGTTAGTTTTGTGATGTTGTGTTTTTATATTTTTATTCTTTTTCTATGTACAGCACAGTGGTCAACTTCTGTTGTGTTAAGTTGTGCTATATAAATAAACTAAATGAAATGAAATGAATAATGAATCTGTTTGATATCAAAATAATGATAGATGTTTTGCTATAAATTACGAACATGGCTTTATTTCCAGATTATATCATATGCTCGTTCTTATGCACTAGAGCACGTACGCACATGTGCCCTCTTCCAAAACTGTGCTTTAAATCTCTTGACAAACGTAAATTACATTTGTTTGCATTCTAAAATAAAATGTATAGACGGCACTGAATGTCAGCTTGCTTATTTGGCTCAAGATGCAAACAAGAATGCTTCTAATGGTGTGTTCACACCGGACGCGAATAGTGCATCAGGCGTGAAAGATTTCATTGTTAAGTCAATGCAAAGACTGATCACAAAGGCGTTATGCGCGTAAAAAACTCCTGCGGCGCGAATGAGACGTAGAGCGTGGCGCGGTAGATGCGAATATGCCTCATTCACGCAGCAAGTTTGCGTGGATGGCGCAAATTGAGCGTCTGACGCGTCAAGTGTGTTAAGCGCAAATGATTTAGTTAGTGCTATTTGTGCATTCACACGTTTGACGCGAATTTGCGTCTGCCGCCCGACTTGAAAAATCTGAACTTTGGCGTCAATTTGCACCGCGTTAACCAATCAGGAGCCTGCTGCTTGCTTATTTGGTGGATGCTTCAATAAATTATTTTGTAATATGACTAAATGCCTGGTGTGGTTCTAATGCACAACAAAGCAAATATTTTATCACTTAAAACTTTATTTCAATATACAAGACATTTTCATTTTGTATTGAATTTTATTTATTCCATATCTAGATTATATGAAATATTATTATGATGTAAAGACAACCAACATACATGTGCATTAGTTCGTGTCTATACGTGAGAGAGAAAAAAATCACAGGACGGCTTAATAACTTTTGGAGGCTGGCTCTATTTATCATCAAAACAAATGCCAGATTAGATGGATGAGGGCTAGGGTGATCCTCGCTCCGATGTGGGACAACAGGTCATCAAACTGGCCGCAGGACAGGCGGAAGTACCACTGACAGCGGCTGTCATCCAGAACGGCTCCTGGAGCGAGCAAATGGTGAAACTTGCCAAACGGTTCCCCTCTGAAGGGTCCGGTGGACACAAATAAGGCGACGATGATCCCCACGCCGCTGTTCTGCTCGCCAGAGAAATGTCTCGATGAATGCTCGATCAACATAAAAAAGATGGCCGCCAATGGGTTTCGATTCTGATGTGCGTGACGCACGTAAATTCCGCTTCAAACGTTTGCATTTATGTGCGTCAGTTTCACTCTTGACGCGCAAATTAACACAAAGTGGTCAAGCGTCAAACTAGACGTGGTAGACGTGAATTTGACGAGCTATTCGCGTCCGGTGTGAACGCACAGTAATGCTTCTGCTTCTAATGCTCACACTATATTTATTTTGTGCTGTTTATACTACTTCCATGTTATGTTTCCGAATACTAAAATGCATGACATTGAGGGACACGTTTTCAAGGCGCAACCATGAAAATCACAAAACTAGCAAATTAAGGTGCGTACCTGTTGGTGTGGGAGTTGTTGTGCATGAACCAGGAGCGATTGTTGTCCACATACATGGCCCAGGCCTTATCATCCTTCCCTAACATCATGTCCTTCATCGTATTAATCCGTGCCACACCAAATGCGGGGTCGGGGTGGTTGTCATAGCGATCCACACTAAGTTCCCAGTAATGCACACCCTTGGAGAAGGCAGCTGTCCCGAGCACCACGCGATCATCGTAACTGTTACACGTCACAGTCTGGTGTTCGTTGGACAGGACAATGTCTCTGTGAGCTGACGTAGGGTCAAAGGAGAACCATGCCACTGCAGAGGAAAGATAAAACCAAATAAGAGGTTTACCAATCAAAAAATCAATCAAAATAGCATCTCACAGAGGTCGACTGGCAACTGATACCGTTACTGTATGACAATAATTAATGATATTACTGAAACAGTGTATAAAGTGTAGGTAACAGAACAAAATTTGAGATCCAACTACTTTTTCATGACGAGTCTTTTAGTTATTTTATGTGTGATATTGATATTATGTGAAAAAAAGAAAAATGCTTTCAGCATCTTTAGCAGGATTTAAAAGAGTGTAAGTATCGTTATCATAATTTGCTGATCATACACTCATCTACAGTATCTACTCATATTCACTCCTTCAGTAACTTATTAAAAGAGTTAAAAGGAATGAAATATTAAAGCTGGTAAGCTCTCTTAGATGTGCTTCGGCAGCCGAGTGCCTGTGGGGCAAATCTAGCATCAAATCCTTGCATGTTCTGTGTTAATTAAACATCTCCTCTGGGACCATTGGTTTATGTACACATGCAAACACCTACTCAACTGGGGTTTTGTCTGAATTCTAACTGTACGTTCACACCGCCGTCGACTTGAGCTTACAAAGCGGCCGGAAGTCATTCATTTTCAATGCAAGCTGGCTTTTCTGAGCTGCAAGGAGCGTCAAATCCATCAGTGTCGTGTTTTGGGGATTTTGAGCGTCAATCAGAAAGTTGAAAGAAGCTCAACTTTATGGTAATGCGCTGTGACGCGGTTCAGCGGCAAAACGCCAGCAACCAATCAGAATATAGACGTCCTTCACGCTGGCTGATTCCGGAGAAATACACAATGTAAACTTTCGTTCCTACCTAAACATTAGTTCCTGTAAATGGAAGAGAAGCTAATAATCGCCGTTGCTGTACTGGTTTCGTATAATTTATGACATGACGTTGTTTGCTTATTGGGACCGCATGAGCGCAACTTTTATTTGAAATATTTAAGAACACTCGTTTTAAAGCGGGAATGCAATTAATTTGCTTATGGTCACACCGATTTGACCGCAAATAATAATAATAATAGCAAACAATTTTTTTCACGACCAAATGTGACCAAAACGGTTATAAAAATGCTGTCGTTATAAAAGGTTTCTTTATGTATTGCTTGTTTTTTTTTCCTGTTTATTACATTTCACGTTGTGACACTTCTATTCTCCCTGCAACGTCAGAGCGCTCAAAGCGTCAACAAGCTTCCCCGTACTTTTTTACAAGCGTCCTTGACAAGTCGGCGGCAGTGTGAACGTACTAGAGCCCGACCGATAAAGGATTTTGAAGGCCGATACCGATACAAATATTTGTTGGTTTTAAAATCCGATATTCCGATATATCTTTTATTTATTTTTTTATTCCGAAATGCGCAACAAAAAATTAACAGATTTCCCTAACATTAGTTATTTGTACTGTAGTTATTTATGAGTTTTAACTAAAATAATATGATAATGCAAACTTGTTTCTTTTGTCACAACAGAACAGAGGAACCAAAGCTCATTAATGTTAACGTTAGCGGTCTTCCACTGATAGTGGCATTAGCTAGCTTTGTGGTTAGCTAGTCTATGATGAGCCATAATTTAGCAATGGATAACGTCATACTGCAAATTGTAAAACATACATTTTCAATATAACAGGCCAAGGAGAGATGATGCGTCTCATTGCTATAACTGTCACGCGCTATTAAAGAAATACTTCAGTCACATTGTCAAAAGTTAAAAGGACAGTCAGTCAACTACACTGTAACAACGTAACGTAATTATTACTAGCTAATTCCTCTTCACTCTCGGCTTATTTAACAGCAGCAAAACTGGACATGATAGTCACAAATTTTGTCATGCTTATTTGAGTTAAGAGAACTGATGGGGATGTTCTTTAAATTGTTATTCAAGCAATGTATGTCTCGTGACTAACTCAACGAGTGTTGCCAACAGGGACGGTGTAGAGTGCCCACTGGTGGACAAACTATACAACTCAAACACTCACAACATGGTTCAAGCGTGTTTCGTCCGTCTTTAATTTATTTTTGAAATATTCATTTATCGGCCATTATAACTGCCGATACCGAAAGTTCGGAAAATGCCTAATATCGGCCGATAATATCGGCCTGCCGATATATCGGTCTGGCTCTAGAACGTACAGTAATGGTATTGGGCTGATTAAAATATGTACAACTAATTATGATTTTGAACAAATCACTTGCGTGAATGATTCACTCACTCCCACATAAAGACCGTCAATGTTGAACTCTACTGGTTCAACATTGTAACCTGGAGAAGTGGAGTGATACAAACAGTGAGAAGTCCCAGTGCCGTTGATATAAAATCAGCACTTTTTGAAACACTGCTCAGTCAAATGAATTCAAAGACCGAAACTATTTCAAAAACCAGTTGGAGTCTCTATGTATCAAAAGTTAAAGTTAAAGTCTCTATGTCTACAGTTAGATGTTTGATCCCTGTAGATTAGCAAAATAGTGATGAAAGGAGTTTCCCTAAGACACTCATTAAAGAGAAGCATCCACAGCAGGGATCCACAAGGAAACGGAATATATAATGTGGAAGCTGTGTGTGTTGTTTGTTATCTACGTTTCATAAATAGAAAACTCTCAAAGACACTATTAAAGGTGAATGAAAGAAGATGTGTGAAGTAAACGACTGCAACACCCACCATCGGAGGTCTTCAGAACAACAACCTTGCTGTACGCTCCCACTCCAGCAGTGTTGTACGCTTTGACTCGAGCGTTGTACGAACTGTTGAAATGAAGGCCATCCACTGTACAGACTGTCTCTTTACCCACGTATACCTCCTGGAACATGGACAGGAAACAAAGAAAAAAAGGCAGACAGGAAGTAAAGTTAAAAATGGAGAATCTTAGAATGATGCTGCATGAATATCATGAATTATGAAATAAGCTGTAGATGTTTCAAAGAGAAGAAGATACTGTATGATTTTGCAAGCATTGAAGCATAAACAAACCTAGAAAACAAAAAGGCATCATTCAATCCTACATTGGTTGGATTGTAAAACTTAATTTGTTTCCACGTTTTAGTTACATTGCACCACTCTGGACCAATTCGTTTCATTAATTTGTGCCTTCCAGTAGCAGGAATGGACAGCCCTGTTCTAAATGCACAATAATTACGTGTTTTACAATTTGCAATTAGCATTTGTGGCTTCTAGTCCATGTCTGTTAGCTTTGAGGTCATACCTCTGATTAGCAGGAACAAATGTAATTGGACGTACTCGCATCATTCTGAACGTGTTTCAAACCAGCACCAATCAGAATGGGAGTTGGGCAGCTAACAAGGAAGTTGAAGACCACAGCTGCTAGCGTGAGGTTTATCTGCACAGCTCTTACTAGCTGACATCCGTTATATTCAACTCCCAAAACCTCACTCCTATCCAGGTCACAGCACCAATGTAACTGGCCCTCGTAGACACTAAAGACTATAACTGCTAGCATCAGTTGTTAGTGTACCTCTTGAGGCCAGGGAAGGGAACGTCCTGAGTGGTTTTAATATGTCTGACACAATCCTGTCCGCGTTTAGAGAACTTCATAGCACCAAACTGCTTTATTGAAAGTTACAAATGATATTTTACTTTCTCTTGATTCGTTCTGCTTGACTTAAGTGCAGCATTTGAGTAAATTATGACATCCTTTTACATAGACTTGATCATGTAGCTGGGCTTCAAGGATCTATGCTGGATCTTACCTCAAGGATAGAACTTTTTCTGTTAACCTGGAGATATGTTTCTCATCTCGTTCTCAAATCTCCTTTGGGTGTTCCACAGGGCTCTATTTTAGGTCCTCTTCTTTTTGCTATATATATGCCTCCACTTGGTTATATTATTCAGAAACACAACTTATTGTATCATTTCTATGCCGATGACACTCAGCTTTATCTTCCCGTTAAAAATAACACCTGTTCTAATTTGTTTGCATGTCTTCAAGATATTAAATGCTGGATGGACTTACTACCATCTAAGCTTGGTACCAATTCAATTAGCAACCAGAGTACAAAATAACCAAGAGATTGATTTGTTTTCTTGGCTGTTGAATGATCTCGGTGTGAAAATAAAATGTTGACCCGGTACCCGGTAAGGCCCGCCATTCCCGTCATCCAGCTCCAGCACGTAACCCTCGACAGGCAGGGCTTGGACTGTAGTTATCCTCCAGGCCAGAGTGGCGCTGTTGTTCCGCATGCAGCATTTCTCCAACTGCAACAGTGGTGCAGGAGGCACTGTTGGGGTCTCCGCTAAAAGAGAGTACAAAGTACACTTTTAATCATCAAATATCATCCACCAAGGCATCAAAGTTTAAACAGGGGTAAATGTGGAGTGACATGCATGGGAGTAAGAACTTCCTGAAAGTCACTGGTGCCTCTAAAAAAAACATACGGAGAAAAAGGGGGCTGTGGTTTGGGGTGGGGTTGAGTATTATAGGGGAACATTTTTAGCAACTCTGAAATACCTCCTGTGTTCTCCTCCTCTTTCTGGTCACCTGTATGCATTTGTTTCAATGATGCAGCCTCCTGACCATCTGAAAGATGATATCGGACAAAGCAGGGGTTGCATGTATGAATCTAGAGGTAAAACTGGGGGGATCATTTGCCTCTGAAACTGGGAATGATGGGATTCATGTTTGGATTGTGTAAAGAGCAGCCCAACTATTCTCCGAGACCATGATGAATTTGAATTTGCAAGACATATTGGTTTAATTGCCAATTTTGAAGAGTTTGTTTGCTAGTCCATGGATCCTAGAATCAAATTCTAAATGGAAAATAAGAATCTCATTGCAACAAATATATAAAACAATATATTATTAGCCTTACAAAAGTGATCACCAATGTTGGGGAATGTTATTTTTTAAACTACTCATAAATAAGTACTTTCTCGAAATCTCAAAATCATTACTTCCAAAACATAACCATATCATGTAACGTGCACTGCTGCTAATGTTATTCCCCCAACACCGGTGACCACAAACAGCGAACGTTAAATCTCATTTTTTTTAGATGTCGTGTCACATATTACCTTTATTCTGGGTGAAGTCCAGCTGGAGAATTGACTGCATCAGAGGGTCTGTGTTGACGGTCAAGGCAAATTCTGGGCAGACCTTTGGCTCCAATGCACCTTTTACCCACTGGTCCTGAGAGCCCTGGACACGCTTTATCAACGCATCTGAGATCTGGAAGCACAGAACGAGAAGAGAAACGATAATGATCAACTGTGATGTCTTAAGGCACCCACGCACTACAAGATAAGCGGGCCGATTTTGGGCCCAATTGTCCCCTTCCGACAATCCTAGGTAAATCCCGATTATATTGATGGTTCTACGGATTATTTTATCAGATTATTCTGTGGGTTGAGGTGTGTTGAGTGTGACTGATATACTCAGAAGAACGTCAGTGCCGATAGTAAATATTCAACAATGCTGCTGTGTAGATTGTCACGATACCAAATCAGAAAGCGAGCTGAAGGAAGACAGAAGCATAACATGACTTTTCTGAAAATTTTCAGTAAAAAGCAGTCCAAACACTATTATCACCATTTCTTACGCCAAGTTACGTTTGATGGGAGAGATTTTGCAGGATTTCTGGTGTTCACAGTCGGGACTCTGGTTGTTTATGAATGTAATTAGTGTGTGTTGTCGATCACATCGCATCACTCCACACACTAGAGTAACACTAGAGGTAGAGGTCTCTCACATTTGGAAATTCTGATAATATTTTAAAGGGGTGATGAACTGAGAAATCAAATTTTCCTTGATATTTTGACATCTAAGAGCTCATCATATTATAAGAATATCCTGTAAGTTTCAGAGCTGAAAACGTCCTTGTTAGTCCAATAAAAGCTTTTATTGACACCAGCCTCAGCAAACGACTCGTTTTTCAAAGTGGGGAACTATGACGTCAAAGAGGATAAAACACCACCCCCGCAGAAGAAGATCAACGCCTACTTCAACACGGCCGGTTTTTTACATCATTAGACGTTTTCAAAACAATTTTCCCCAAGTGCATCGACGGGTGAGTTGAAACTCATTATAACATACAAAACTGTTATCCACTCACAGCAGTGGGCGTTTACTTCCAAGTCTTCAGTGCGAGACGCCCATAAAAAACGAGTGTTTTTATAGCTAGGGTAGAAAATAGCCTATCACTTATTCATTTAGATGTATTTGAATGCAAAAACCAAGCGAACGTAATAAGTCGATATGACGTCAGACAACAACATTAAAAAAATTAAAAAGCCAGTTCATGACCCCTTTAAAAATCTTTTAGTGTGGACCAGCGTTTTGAAAATTGACACCATTCAGGGGTGCGTTTCCCGAAAGCATCGTTAGCCAACTATGGTCGCAAGTTGGTCGCAATTTCCATTGAAATCTATTGGTAATGACGGAAATTGCGACCATAGTTGGCTAACGATGCTTTCGGGAAACGCACCCCTGTTCAGTTTAGTTTCGTTTTCATTGACTTTCAGTTTGTTCTTCTTTGTTCAGATTTCCTACCGCTCGTCAGTTTCTATGGTTACTGTCTCGTTATATCCCGAGTTCCCTGTCTTTACAATCTGTCATAAAACCAAGAAGAAGAAGAAGAATTCCCTGTCAGGTCACGTTTTAGTAAACTTCGTGTTGGAATATTCTTCTTCTGTGTCCTCGTCTTCCTGACTGTACATTATCATTAAAATAAATAATATTAATTTTATTTATTTTTATTTTATTGTTTGTAGTATTATTTATTATAATAATTAAATAATTATTTTTTAATTATTATTAATTAAAATGATCACAATAAAGAATCATTTTGGTACTGTGTTAGGCATATATTACATTATAATATATTTAGTCCATCACATTTTGGACTGTGTTTTAGGGATTCACTCTTCTTTATATTTTGGGGATCAAGACAAACCAATATACAGTATTGTCTGCTAACTGTATCTCTCTTTATGCTGGACAGGCATCTCTAACTCACAGTACATGCTTTGTGAAGGCACTCAAACAAACATAACAATTGATACTTCATAAAAAATGTAGTAAAGAGGCAGCGTTGCACCTTTGGAGCAGTCTTCTCTCTCGATTATACACTCGCTGCAATGAAATATTAATTATTGAAAGAGTTTAATTGCTGAGGGCCAGTCTAAACAGCAGGCAAACGCTTTCAGAGGAAACCATCGGATACCTTTGAAATCTTGCTTCTGCTATGGAATATATTTTTTTTTAGTTTATAACTCACAATCTGAAAAAAAAAAGTGGGATTTAAGCTCACAATTACAAGTTTACATCTCACATTGTACTGAGTTTCATTCAAACTTTGGAATTAGACAGAAATTAGGTATGGTACCAGTACTTCTGTCACAATGAAGATTTTAAATGAACCCTGGCTTATAATGCGATTATAATGACATTTAAACAATATTCAGATTAAACTTTAGCTCATGTAAGCAATACTTCGCAATCAAATGTGTGCGATTAAGCTTACTATCATTGTAACCAGAGCCGAAAATGTACATTTGCCAAGTACCAAATGCGACTAAAAATAGGTGTTGGCGAGTATATTAAACGGTGTCAATCGCCAGTTGGCTGGTAACATTTTTATTAATTTTATAAATAAATAAATAAATGCATGTCTATCAGTATAGATCCGTGTATCAGTATATTAGATCCATGTATACGCTCTTAAAGTGACAGCAGCCTAATATACCTCCAGCTGTCTGTGTTTTTAAAGGAGAACTCCGGCGCAAAATGAACCTTTGGTCTAATTACACATTGTTACCTAGTCAACCGTTATCTGAGATTTGTTTTCATGATTGCCGAATGTAAATAGTTTTATCTCTAAAAACAGTTTAGCCTATAACGCTAGTATAATGCTAGTATATAGGGCATAGAGTAATGACAAAAAAAACCCGCTTGTTATTACCACTAAAAAGGCTCAAAATAGCCCCACAGTAACACGACAGCATAATAAGGGTCTCTACATTCAAACCGAAGCATTGAGAACTTTGTCAGTGTCCATACAGTTTAATAAGAAGATATTTTATGCACACAGTCAACTTCGCGAATACAGGAAGAAGCCATCTTTGAAAAATAGTCTCGACCAGTCGATCTACGAACGCCGATCCATGTGCGCTGGTGAGATGTGAATAAGGTGATAAGGTGAGCGCGAACAGTAGGCTACGTGTACATATTGAAGACAAGTAAACGGTTCGTGTTTGTGTTTCTTCTGGAAACAACGGACCATATGAGATTCTGCACAGTTCAGCGCACTTGGATTGGCGTTCGTAGATCGACTGGTAGAGACTATTTTTTAAAGATGGCTTCTTCCTGTATTCGCGAAGTTGACTGTGTGTATAAAATATCTTCTTATTAAACTGTTTGGACACTGACAAAGTTCTCAATGCTTCGGTTTGAATGTAGGGACCCTTGTTATGCTGTCGTGTTGGTGTGGGGCTATTTTGAGCCTTGTTAGTGGTAATAACAAGCTATTTTTATTTGTCATTACTCTATGCCCTATATACTAGCATTATACTAGCGTTATAGGCTAAACTGTTTTTAGAGATAAAACTATTTACATTCGGCAATCATGAAAACAAATCTCAGATAACGGTTGACTAGGTAACAATGTGTAATTAGACCAAAGGTTCATTTTGTGCCGGAGTTCTCCTTTAATGTTATTCAAACAAAAAGGACACAAAAAAAAAACACTCACTGCACTTGAATGTGAATGTGCACTTTTCAAACTTTAATAAGGATTAATCAACGTTTAATTTATACAGTGAAGACTATCCAGTGTAATTAGGACCCTATTGGAATTGCTCCGTTTATATTATTCAATGTCTCAAGCTGAAAACTACTGTTACTCGTCTTTAATAACGTTATAAATTTATATTAGTTAGGCTAGTAGTTTTAGCTGTGGTATCGAAATTGGAATAGAGGATTGTTAATTTTCACTGTTTTTTTTTTTTTTTTTGGTGTCATAAATTGCTGTTTTTGGACAAAACTAGTTTTTTTAGTCTCTGGTTGTAACCATAATAGTAATATATGGGGTGGGTGCCAACCTGAATCACAAAAAACATGCATTTAAACACTTTAATCGCATCTATTCCACACGTGCAGATTCATAAACATAGCGGTAAAGAACGCATTTCATTTTTGGGGTGCAGATGAAACAGAGTTAACAACATTGTGCAACATGAATATAATGCAGTATAATGGATGGTTGAAAACACTGAAATTAATTTTGGTGCGTCAATGGCATTGACACCTACTATATGTTAGTTCATCATCATCATTATTATTATTTGAGATCTTTAACCTTTGACTTTGTGTTTCAGCTTTTTCTGTACCTGTAGGAATCCACTGGGATCGTTCTCTTTAATAACCTCCAGACAGAATTCCATCATTCCCGTGGTCTGCCGGAGCTTCATGGTGCAGTGAGTTATCTGATCCTTTACAGTCTGAAACAGAAAGGCCGTGGCTAAATTATCATCACACACATTCAGTCTGAGCAGCAGCATAAGAGGCATTCAATCAAAGACAAGCTCATAGTGGTGAGTGTCACATCAGATAGATGCTACAAAGAGATATGGAGTCACGTAACCAATATCTGCATCACACAAACTCACATCTACTAGACAAGTTAGTCATAAAACAAAATTATTCAATACTAGTCATCAATTACACTAAAAGGTAGATTGGTCTATTGGTAAATTTGAATCTGAAAACAAAGACTGACTAGCCTTGACTAATTGCTGGCTGGACACACTAGTTCTTAAGATGCTATGTTTACGCAACTGGTCCAAGATTTGTATGGTTGTCAAAGATCTTCAGTCTCAGCCAAGCAAGGAAATGTTCCGGGTTCAATACAAGTTAAACTCAATAGATGATCACAGAAAATCATTTCGACTTAAAATCATTTTACAGTAATGCACTTTTAATGGAGCAAGGCATTGCACTAAAATAAACATTATAGAAGGCATGTTATTAAAGACATATGTTAATATGAGAGTGTAATAACACAAAATCTTAGATTAAACTATAATATGTGTGTGTTTATACTATAAAAAAGTGTGTGTGTGTGTGTGTGTGTGTGTGTGTGTACTTGTCTACCTATCTAAGAGGGGACTTTGGTGTCGTTACACACTCACTAACAGGGGACCGCCGAGGGAAGTGGGGACATTTTTCAAGTCCCCTGTTAGCTATGCCTTAAAACATGTTAAAATCAACTAAAAAACGCTCTGGTGAATTTTTTTAACTTTTGACCAAGTGGGGACTAACACATGTGTGTGTGTTTAAGCCCATACTCAGCAGCGCTCCTGTAGGCTGGAGCAGGAACTGCAGTGGCCCATTAACACACGTCGTTCACACTTCTCTATTGTCTGAATGGCTGGCTGTCCCAAAGCCTCTGAGACTGTAGAGCTGCTTAGTTAAGGTACTTTCAGTAAATTTAATAACCCCACGCTAGTAATCATTAGTTAAGCAATAGTAAATGCTTAACTAATGAAAATACAATTATTAAAACACATTATAGATATGCTTTTAAAACAATATTAAAGAATTTATAGCTTTATAGCTGTCTTTATAAATTGCTGATTATTGGTTTAAAAGCATATCTATAATGTGTTTTAATCATTTTAATTCCATGCTTTATTAATGAACAATTTATGATTTCTAAATGAAGTATAGCATTATAAACCATAATAATAAACCAATATAAAGTTATTTAGGAGTTGTCAGTGGTTTATAAGATCACTTAGAAAGTGAGTAAATGATTAATAAACTATTTCAATGTGCATTCATGCATCTTATTATTCAGACATATAGTAATAGTTACTTAGTGTGTTAATACATTTTTAACATGTATTTCTACTGTAATCCAAGGTTAATTCAGGTAGTTATCAACCATTTAGTAGTGGTCAGTTTACTATTTTGTGAGCTCATCTAAAGTGAGGACCTGTTATGCCTTGTAATGCATTTATAAAAGAGATTTCAAAGGCTCAGTTAAATATTTGTATGTTCTTTTATGTTCAAAGTGTTGTGTTGTGTTTGTTTCCTTTTTCTGTTTAGAAGAGAACTGAGCCTTTAAATCTAATTTATGAATGTTTTACAAGATATAACTATTCCTCACTTTAGATGAGCTGCCAAAAAAAGTTAACTGACCACTACTAAATGCTTAACTTCTTGCATTTACTACATTTAAATACACTTAAGTGATCTCATGAATCACTGACAACTCCTAAATAACTGGTTTGTAAATAATGTTATTCTTCATTAGGAAATTATAAATTGATAATTAATAAAGTATGCAAATACAATGATTAAACACAATATTATGCTTCTAAATAAAGAATAAAGCATTTACACAAGAATAGAGCATTTATAGCTGTATTTATAAACTTCTTATTAATGTCTATTAATGCTTTATAAATTACAGATAAACTATTTACTAATGATTAACTAATGATTAATAGCATGCAGTTATTATGAAGTGCCCAGTGGCAACAGTTCGAAAGCAGAGGCGAGAAGACGCCTCTTATCATTCATAATATTATTTTTTTCTTATTTAACGCTCTCTCTTCATAGATACTGTCTATGCTTGGTTATAGCAGTCCCTAACAATTTACTTGCCATTGTTACTTTTCTTAATAATTTTGTCTGTACCTCAGTAGCAATTCCATACTAACAAATAATACAGAATATCATAACACTTTCGATGAAATTCCTATAAAACATCAGAAGCTTTATGTTGTGGACAATACAGGAAAGTTATTGCTTTAAAAAATTAATTCTCTGTTGTGGCTTTATACTTACAGTATATGATTGGTCCACATATCCCATTTAAGCTTATTGCCTACTGATAAGTTGTATTTGACAAATATACAAATAGTTGTATTTGACTATATTTTACATTTTACAAGCAGTTTTGACTGATATGTGTGCACTGTAAAACAATTATTGTTGGTTTAACTTAAAAAATGAAGTTACCTGGTTGCCTTGAAACTTTACGTTCATTGAAATTGAAAAATTGACTTAATACAATGAAGGAGATTGATTTTATAATCAGAAACTCAAAATATTATGTTATCTGAACCACATACATTATCTAAGTTGATTTGACAGAAGAAACAACGTTATGATAACAAATCATGATTTTTTTTTTTTTTTTACAGTGTATATTACTTTAGTTTGAAAATTACTTCAATTATCTTTTTAACAGTTAACTGGTTTCAATCTTATTTATGGAACAGAAAGTTTTTGTTCAGGATAGGTCATTTCTTCTGTTCTGTCGCTCACCTCCACAGGGATCGATCTCGGCGCCCTCCCTTTACTCGTTCTACATGCTACCATTGGGTTCTATATTTTAATAAGACATGGTGTTGCCTTCCATTCTTATGCTGAAGACACCAAAATATATACACCTATTGAGAGAAATGATCCGTCTGCTTCCATTTCTCTTTTATTATGCTAAGATGAGGTTACATCTTTGCTTGCAAAAAAATTGTGTCTTTAAATGAACACAAAACTGAGGTGATAGTTTTCCCCACTGATAATTTTAAGACCACCAGCATCGCTTTGAGGAGCTTCTCTGCATTCAGATCTATGCGGGATTAGGTGTGCTTTTAGATGGGCCTTCAAAACGTGATAAATATCTTCCGTAACTGCATCTAGTTTATCAACTCAATAAAATCAAGCAGAAATATCTCTTTAAGGTATAATTGCAGGTCTCCACACAAGCTAAACTGTACATGATCTAGACTCTAGATAAATAAAATGCAATGGCAGCAGTAAGTCTGGGGAATGCTTATAATTCTCCTTTTGGTTTCAATTATGAACATGTTTCAATTCTTTTTAACAAGGCATATATTTCATAATACAATTATAAAAAGATATAACATTATTTGATATTAGCATATTAGCAGCAGTATATAACAGTATATTAGCAGCAATTACACATTGTTCCCTTTACCATCAAACTGGAGAGCCTCTTTTCTGTAATGAAAGACCAATCTTATGGGTTGTGGTCCCTCATATTGGCCAATATCAGTAAAAAAAAACAACAACCTTGTTTCCCTTAGGGCTTAAATTACCCAGATTTGTTTATTTTTTATCATTACATTTTTATCCTGACTGACATCAGGTGATGCTTGTAACCCAATCATAATCTGTTAACCCACAACATTAGAATGTTATATTCCCATTAAATTAAATTAAATTAGAATGTATTTATTTCTAAATACTTATCACTTTTTAAGCTCTTCACTTCAGCTTCACTGCAGTACATTTCACATTCAAAACGCATTAAAACTACCAAAACACATCATTCATATATATAATAAACCAGACCGTTCTCATCCTTTAACGTCATAGAACGCTATATGCAAAAACGGCGCTATACTACGCACATGGCACCCTTTATCATTAATATAACACGCGAACCCAAGTCGTCATAAATCCTTTAGCGTAAATATGATACGCAGACCCTACCCCACACCTAAACTTAGCTCTCACAGCGCGTGTTATATTAATGATAACAGGTGCCATGTGCGTAGTATAGCGCCGTTTTTGCATATAGCGTTCTATATGACGTTAAAGGATGAGAATGCGTTGAATAAACACACACACACAACAGGCAGCAATATGCACTATTTTTTGCTGTTCAGAATTCGTTGGTTCATGTTTATATGGAAGACTTAGACTTGTTTACGTGTTTAGTTAATTCTTAATTTTCTGTTTTTTTTTTTTGTTTGTTTTTTTAGATTCAGAATATGTTTCAGTGTAAAATACGGTAGAAATATCTTATTCGTTTGTCTGTTGATAAGTTTTGAACTTAAATAACAGTCTTGGAAATAATATCTAAGCATGTGCAAATTGGCCTGTACAGTAGATCAAGTTTTGTTTGCCAGAAATCAATTCATGTAAATTGAAAGATCTCAGTTTAGCGAAGACTGATCGTGTGATCACTGAGTGAAGAGTTTTGAGAAGTTGTTCAATGTTGTATTATGTTCAGAGTTTTAGCAGTGTTGTGTCGAAGTGAAATATGTAGTTTGGAAGATGTAGTCACTGAATGCATTAATACAACTCTAAAAAGAAAAACAACAACAAAAAAGCAACCTGTAATAGCAGCTGCAAATGGGGCCTTATTTATCACTCAGAAAGAATTAGTGTTAAACACATTTACACAAACTCTAGACACAGAAGGATCATATGTTCCCCACATCACACCAGGATATTTCACTCAAAATTGTGAAATATTTCACTCATTAAGTGTTTGATTTACTCATTCAACTGATGTTCAAAACAACTGTGTAGTTACAGTGCTGCAAAAAAATGCAGACATGTTTCTTTATAAAATAGCAGACACAATACCACTGATATTGAAAAAAAAAGATCTAAATCAACTTCTAGGTTTGGGTGAAGTGAGAGGGTCACAGAGACAGAACTAAAAACCTAATTTGTCAAATAAACTCTAAAAATAAAAGATATTCAAGACTGTGGTATAAATAATTGGATGATCTGACCATAACTCATACTATCCTTGATTTTCTAACTTAGGACATTTCCTTTGTGTGTGATTACACCGCCCTCCCCCACACTAATTAACATATCAATGCAGGATGGCTTGAAGGTGTCTAGGTGAAGTGGCCTGAGTGCTTACAAATACAGCTACCAATGTTCAAGTATCTGTGCAACTTCTCAAATAAACTACAATAAACTAGAGAAAACGTTGGGATTTACCCTTCCAAATTTATTTTGTAACATATTCTTTTGTAAAAATGTATTTAATAAATAAATAAAAACAAGAAGTAAACTACTGTTAACTGCAGTTTGTTACATTATCCATGTTTACAATACTGTAATCCCTGGTACTGTCGATGAACAGAAATCAAAAGATCAAGGGACAAATTATCAGTATATTTTCTAGAATCTCGGAGTGAAATGGGCTTATGTGACAAACTGTGGATCATTTAATTTTGCTTTGGAATTTTTTTATTCAATGGCGTCTTTCAATTTACATGAATGTATTTCACACTTAACACAAACACCAACAGAACTTTATGTTCTATAAAGACCAAATTGCACATCTTTACATTCTCCAATCAAAACTGATGTTCAAAACCTAACACAACATGAATAAGACCAAAATTTGCAATATTTATACAGTAATACCATTTTGAAATATAATCTGAATTAAAAACAAAACAAAAAAAACAATTATATTTAACTAAACACCTCCACAAGTGTTTGTGTTAGTCTCAGTTTAATCACCAATTTAATCTATACAAAAGGGGAAAATTAGGAATAATTTTGTGCAGTATTGTAAACATGGATAATGTAACAAACTGCAGTTAACAGTAGATAGTCTAATTCTTGTATTTATTTATTTTTTAAATACATTTTTACAAAAGAAAACATTACAAAATAAATTTGGAAGGGTAAATCCCAACGTTTTCTCTAGTTTATTGTAGTTTATTTGAGAAGTTGCACAGATACTTGAACATTGGTAGCTGTATTTGTAAGCACTCAGGCCACTTCACCTAGACACCTTCAAGCCATCCTGCATTGATATGTTAATTAGTGTGGGGGAGGGCGGTGTAATCACACACAAAGGAAATGTCCTAAGTTAGAAAATCAAGGATAGTATGAGTTATGGTCAGATCATCCAATTATTTATACCACAGTCTTGAATATCTTTTATTTTTAGAGTTTATTTGACAAATTAGGTTTTTAGTTCTGTCTCTGTGACCCTCTCACTTCACCCAAACCTAGAAGTTGATTTAGATCTTTTTTTTTCAATATCAGTGGTATTGTGTCTGCTATTTTATAAAGAAACATGTCTGCATTTTTTTGCAGCACTGTAACTACACAGTTGTTTTGAACATCAGTTGAATGAGTAAATCAAGCACTTAATGAGTGAAATATTTCACAATTTTGATTGAAATGTCCTGGTGTGATGTGGGGAACATATGATCCTTCTGTGTCTAGAGTTTGTGTAAATGTGTTTAACACTAATTCTTTCTGAGTGATAAATAAGGCCCCATTTGCAGCTGCTATTACAGGTTGCTTTTTTGTTGTTGTTTTTCTTTTTAGAGTTGTATTAATGCATTCATTGACTACATCTTCCAAACTACATATTTCACTTCGACACAACACTGCTAAAACTCTGAACATAATACAACATTGAACAACTTCTCAAAACTCTTCACTCAGTGATCACACGATCAGTCTTGGCTAAACTAAGATCTTTCGATTTACATGAATTGATTTCTGGCAAACAAAACTTGATTTACTGTACAGGCACATGCTTACATATTATTTCCAAGACTGTTATTTAAGTTCAAAACTTATCAACACACAAAAATGAATAAGATATTTCTACCGTATTTCACACTGAAACATATTCTGAATCTAAAAAAAAAACTGAAAAATTAAGAAGTAACTAAACACATACACAAGTCTTAGTCTTTCATGTAAACATGAACCATGTAAAATGCTTGACATTCTGTCCCCCTCACTTTTGAAATGATTGCTACGCCCCTGATTCCACATCCCCCCACACTCATTTACATTTCAATGCAGGATGGCTTTGAAGGTGTTTTAGGTAAACTGGTCTGAGCGCTTACAAATACAGCTACCAATGTTCAAGTATCTGTGCAACTTCTCAAATAAAAACTAGATGCAGTTGATAAACTAGATGCAGTTACGGAAGATATTTATCACGTTTTGAAGGCCCATCTAAAAGCACACCTAATCCCGCATAGATCTGAATGCAGAGAAGCTCCTCAAAGCGATGCTGGTGGTCTTAAAATTATCAGTGGGGAAAACTATCACCTCAGTTTTGTGTTCATTTAAAGACACAATTTTTTTGCAAGCCAAGATGTAACCTCATCTTAGCATAATAAAAGAGAAATGGAAGCAGACGGATCATTTCTCTCAATAGGTGTATATATATTGTGGTGTCTTCAGCATAAGAATGGAAGGAAACACCATGTCTTATTAAAATATAGAACCCAATGGTAGCATGTAGAACGAGTAAAGGGAGGGCGCCGAGATCGATCCCTGTGGAGGTGAGCGACAGAACAGAAGAAATGACCTATCCTGAACAAAAACTTTCTGTTCCATAAATAAGATTGAAACCAGTTAACAGTTAAAAAGATAATTGAAGTAATTTTCAAACTAAAGCAGTGTTCATTTTGACAACAAATTTTGATTTAGTTTTAGTCTTTTGACTAAAATGCCATTTAGTTTGTCATATTTTAGTCATCTGAATTGTTTTAGTCTAGTTTTAGTCAACGAAATTCAATATGATTTTAGCAGCCTGGTCTCATTGTTAATACGTAGGTATTTTAAGTTTTTTGCAAAGATAGAAAACATACTTTTTTGTACGTTTGGATAGATGCTGAAATGTATAATATATACGTATTTGCAACATAAAAGTAACATTATTATGTTTTTACAACTACAAAACGTTAAGTATTTACGTATATTCTATGTCATAAAGATATCTGTATATATCCCTTTTTACCATTTTATGTAAGATCCCATAACCCTAATCCCAAACCTAAACATAACTACACTGTAAACGATTTCTGTTGTTTTCACAGGATTATACAGTTTTTTGTCAACAGTTTCTTACTGTATAATCTATGTACAGTAAGTTACAGTAGAATTTAGTTGTTTTCACAGTATTATTTTGTTTTTTCAACAATTATGTACTGTGCACACAGTTGACAGTATGTTACTGTAGAATTTCAATGCATTCTGGGAA